GAAAAGCCCCCCCCCCCCCAGGGGGGTATTTCGAGATACGAATTTACTTTTTGCACCAGAAGTCATGTATTGATTGTGTTAATCATTTCCCAAATGGGCGTTTGATAATTTTGAACTTGCACTTTATCACCCCCCAACAACACTGAAAAGGACACATTTGATGCTGCGATGTACATTTTCATGAAGAGGGCATAACTTCTGTTTGGCTTATAGAGGCAGCAGTGTGTATTTTCATTCTACTGCTAGTGGAATGTGTACGTATAAAAAATATCACAACTCTAAAATTCTCTACTCCTCGGCAATCATTTCTGTATCCCTTTTCCCAATGTTATTTAAATAAAATCTTAAAATGACCCTCAATATACCAATGGCTACTGTTTTCTGTGCAGCGCGGCGAGACTCCTGAGGACATAGCGGCAAGTACAGACGTTCCATACGGGTACGATGATAAAGACCGCGTCCTGGAGGGAAGGAAGAAGATTCTCCAGCTTTTTGCAGCAGAAAAGTCGCCCCGGTTTGTATAAATCTGGTTCAAGTTGCGCACTATTGATTTTACTGAGGTGTTATCTGGAAATCCTGTTCCGCTCATTTTTCAGGCAACCACATTCTAAGAGAAAGAATTAAAATCGACATTTTGAAATGACTGGATACTGTGATCAGAAATTTAAGAATTCATATATTACCTAAAACTTGATGTCGGCGGTTGAAATGTTCAAGCAGTGCTATGGTTTTATTTTCATGATATATACGCATTACTGTGGTACTACCTGTATTGTTTTTTTAACAAGGAATTGAAAATCATCACTATAAACCTACTTATCTCTTGTTGTTTGGCAGCCCTTACAGGTGCAAAGTGGGTAAAGAAGGAGGTGAACTACAAACCCAATGTTGCACCGTCTCTGTACCGGGTGGGGCCGTTACCATGGAAACAGAAATTACCTGTCAGGTCATCAACCCCAATGACGTCACCCTCCCCCTGAAGGACGGAGAGATGTTAGTGAGTGACATCATAGAGCTGGGTCCGCACGGGACAACCTTCCACCAACCTGTCACTTTGCAGATGCAGTACAACAGCAAGTCGTTAGATGACGCTACGGAAGCTGTCGTGTGGGTCACTGAGGACAGGTCACAATGGACGGAACTTGAAACCAGTATTAAAGTACGTCGACAAACATGAAATGCCCCTGAGAGAACAAAATTTTATACTCTTTTCGATAGGAAATAGTTTCTTCCAGAATAGATAATGAAATTGCCTTGTCATTTTTTAGGGCGAAGGCAGAGCCGCAGTATCAGTGGACCACTTCTCCATCTTTGCCGTCATCAGTCGACCCAAACAGGACCAGTTTACTGTGCCTACAGCAGGGCGCAATCTGACGTCATCAACGCAGCCTGTGGTACAAATCAGCTTCCCGGAACAGGCTGTGACCACAGAGACACAAGTCACCGTACAGGTTAGGGTTGCATTCAGATGAACCAAATGCAAAGGTTGTCGATGGGCTCTCGTATGTATTCTGATCATTTTGCAGTTATATCAATAGGCCATCAACTATGCCTTGGTCAGCCACGTTTGATTGCAGCAATGTCAATAAATATGTGCCTAGTAATAAATGTCATGATAACCATACATTTCTCAATGTAGGCATGATTATGTAATCCGTGAATAGTATTGGTAACGTAAGTCACTGAGTAAAGAGACTCTTTTTACACAACCAAGTCTTTTGTTCAGCCGACGTTTCGGTGACCGTTTGTCACCTTCTTCAGTGCAAATCTGACTGGTTCGTATTGCAGATACAATTCTCTGTAACCACGTATATATGTAAATATGTAAATGTTGTACATTTGTGAATGCATCTATAGCAGCGACACCTGTGCTGCAGTGCAATGTGAACCAGTCAGAATTGCCCTGTGGAAGGTGACAGACGGTCACAGAAACGTAAAAAGAGCCTCTTTGCTTAACTATATTATAGTTATAATCTTTTGAATCTACAGACAGTATATTTGATGTAACACTTGCGTTTCATTTCAACTGTAGGTGCAAGAAGTTCCCAAAAGAGCAGTTGAGGACATCAAGGCAAAGGATGAGTTTTTCGCCAACCTTGTTGGCACCAGCCCGATTGTCAATGTCACTACTGAGTCAAAATCTGACGTCCGCATCCACAAACCAGCCACTGTGCGAGTCCCACATCCCAAACGCTACATGGACATCCAAGATGAGAGGCCCACCAAAGTAAGGGTGATGTCATGTGAGGAGGGGACAGAAGACTGGAAGGATGAAACGGAGAACACTAACCCGCAAGAGTCGTTTGAATTTGTGGAGTTTAAAGTCATCCGTTTCGCCAGGTAATTCAATAGTTTCTTATTATCAGAAACTAATTAGATAATAATGGCAAATAGACAACGAAATCAGTAGTGTCACACATCGTATACTGTGAACATTTTCCTATGGCATTGGTTGAATAAATGTGACAAAAGTAATTTCAGTTACATCAATTAAAATGTTGTCACTCTAGCATTTACAAACAGACAATTTATTTCGTATTTTATTTCCAGATGGATTGTACTCGTTGTCACAGACATCTACGATGACCCAGAGGAGTTAGGACCGATCCCTTTAACCCTGTGCCGATGGCTTCAGCACCGTGCCGTACAGTTCATACTGATGCAGCGGGAGGACGACGCAAACGAATGTGTCATAGAATGCGCCACAGCTAGTTATGTCGAGGATAGACGCGCTAAGCTAATGAAAGAGCTTTATAAGGGCCCATTGCCTACTGACGAAGTGGACATATTTGAAGGACAAAAAGTAGAAATACAGTTTCTGGGCAATGTTTCAATCGCGCCATCCTGCACACAACAACACATCACCTTCCACAGCCAGAGGCTCAATCGTCTCCAGGTGCAAGTCGAGGCCCACGATGGTTCAGATGGCAAAGGGGCTGTTGCCTTCTTTGCCTTACCACAAGTCAATGTCCGAAAAGAGAAAGATAACAACGTGAACATAAGGAACGTGCGCAAGAAACTCGAAAAACTGGGGCGTCCCTCCGAAGATCTACGGCCAGAAAAGCTTTGCGAGGTCCCAATCCGTGTGCCATGCCAGAAACCACAAAAGGTAAAGCTTTGCTAGTGATAAGACAAAGAGAAATAGTCAGTCTTTCTCCATTAAGAAACACAGTTAATGCTAAGACAAGTTGCTCTTTTATAATCTGTATATAAAAAGACCCTAATTATAACACCAATACCTCTATTTACAGACTTCAGAGGATGATGGAGCTACGAAGGCGGGAGATCTGACAGGAGGTGCAACATTTGGCGGTAAAAGAAATGGCTATTTTACCCTGTGAAATGATAACAAATAAAGTTATCACCAAAAACATAAAGACTGAGAGCCAATGAAGAATCATAAGAATTGCATATAAGCTGCTGCGTGGCCTTTTCACTATCACACCAGATTCTTTTTGCTATTTAAAACATAAAATGTAATGTTTTGGCATGTTCATGTGAATGTCATCAGGCATTATTCACAAATATCACTGACTAAATTTTAACCGTGTTGAACCTATCTTTCAGACGTTAAGATGAGCTTCTACTTCATCAAAGAAAACGTGAGCACGGGTTGGAAAGATCTGGCTTTCCATCTCGGCTTGCCGAATCCTGACATCAGCAACATCGCCGGCAGAAACCGTGACGACAAGTCCTGCTGCATGGACATGCTGCAGGAATGGAAGAAGAAGAGGGGAGACGCCGCTACCATAGAGGTCCTGATGGAGGCTCTGTCAGAGGCAGGGCTGCAGGAAGTTGCGGATGGTTTGAAGAACAAATATCCTCAACACCTTGCCAGATATGGGTAAGTTTACACCGCTTCATGCAAGTGCTGTTATTTTTAAGTATTGACTTTTTATCCACAAAAGCAGAAATAAAAGTGAATTCTTTTACCACTTTTTGTCCTTTTCCTTATTTTTGCTATTCTAAGTGTGGTGAAAAACTAGTTTCCCTTTTCCTACGTCCACTTAGGCTGCCTCCACCAGCAAGGGGACAAGAAAAGTGCCCTCCGTAAAGGTACAGGTACTTGCACCTACGTGATCCATAGGCGTACAAAGCAACACAAAACACACATATCATCATATTAAGATTACTAAACTAAGCATACATTCCTCATTCTATCATCCATTTCGGTTCGTATAATACGAACATACCAGCACTATTACTATAACCCTATTAAGAGGGGAGGGGGCTCTTTCGACAGTTTGACCCCCCAAAAAATTGCATAAATTACCCCACAAGAGATTAGATTTCGTCAGATTACGTTATAATGACACCGAAGTTTTGTTATGATTTAATTATACTACTGAACCAGCCTCTAAATGTTTGGTGGTCCTACTACGATAAGTAGTTGTTGGGTTACAGGGAGCGGGACTCAAAAGCCCCTTCGGCCCCCTCCTCCGTCCCAGCATGACCAAAAAAGCCCGGTCTGAATAGAGTTAAAAGATAGAGATTGCTTTCACCTGCAAATAATGGCATTGACTCCACTAAAATGACCTTACCGTCTTCTTTTTTGTTCGTTAATACGTTACAAGCAAGCGCATTGATATTTTCTGCAGCAAAGAAGAACCCACGACAACAGTACCTTCACCGCGACTCGGAAAAATCATCAAGCGCAAGATCACTCATCATCAGCGTTTCTGACTTGCTGTCAGTTTGCAAATACTTACAGTCGAAGTTGTTTAGTAATTACTTGGTCTATTACTTTTAATGTCTAGTAATTACTTTGTCTATTACTTTTTGACATTTAGTAATTACTTAGTCTATTACTTTTTGACATTTAGTAATTATATATAATTACTTAGTCTACTACTTTTTGACATTTAGTAATTATATATAATTACTTAGTCTATTACTTTTTGACATTTAGTAATTACTTAGTCTATTGCTTTTTGACATTTAGTAATTATTTAGTCTATTACTTTTTGATATTTAGTAATTACTTAGTCTATTGCTTTTTGATATTTAGTAATTACTTAGTCTATTACTTTTTGATATTTAGTAATTACTTAGTCTATTACTTTTTGCTCTTTGGCCTAGACAATGTCTCAGCAAACGTCGTTTAAGTATTGTTGGATTGCATTGGTTACATTGTGCACAACGGACATTTGCATTTTCCAGATGTACTAGAGTTTACGTATTCATAAAACTTATGACTTATGCAAAACAATCCTGGCTAGCTATACCAGCTATACCAGCTATACAATGTAAATAGAGAAGGTTATGGTTGGGGACCATTGGCTAATAATTGCAGGAAGAGAGTTGGACAGTTAATTGGAAAGTTGTCATTTCTTGCAGGACAAATGTTCCAACACGAAATTGTGCACGAAATTTTATCAACATGTCTTTCAATCTGATTAAACCGTTTGGGGAATGACTTTTTCATAGGGTAGAATTTCAGGTGAGGGGGGGGGGGAGTCTTTCTGTGATGAACCAACATGGAATGTAGTCAAGTTAAGTCAAGTAATGTAATGTAGAAAATGTGAGAGAAGTGTTACAGTAATAGAAGACTAATTCCATGATCACCATCGTTAAGAAGGCTTTGTTTGTAGCGCTAACACGTGTATGTTGGTAGTTGTTGCTATAAGCCTATGATAGGCTTATTTTGTAGGTACTAGCGGTTCGTTTTGTGATTCAGTTGTACTGAACATTTTATCAACATGTCTTTTAATTTGATTAAACAATTTGGGGGATGACTTTTTTCATAGGGTAGAATTTCAAGTGAGGGGGAGTCCTTATAGCCATTGTCTTTCTATGATGAACCAATATGGAATGTTATGTACAAAATGTGAGAAAAGTGTAATAAAAAACTAATTCCGTGATCACCATCGTTAAGAAGGCTTTGTTTGAAGCGCTAACACATGTATCTTTAGTAGTTTTTGCTATACGTCTGTTGTAGGCTTATTTTGTAGGCACTAGCGGTTCATTTTGTGATTCAGTTGTACTGAATCCAATGGACAGGAAGTCTGTATCACTGTTGAAGTATAAGTAGTGATTCTGACTATGTTCATTAGGGTCAGAAGAGAGTTGGAGAGTTTTAATTTCTCCTCAGCACTGATGTTCCAACAAAAAATTGTATGTTTTTTTTTTTAAATTTGATTTAACAATTTGGGGAATTACTTTTTTCATAGGGTAGAACTTCAAGTAAGGGGAAGACATCATAGCCATTGTCTTTCTATGATGAACCAATATGGATTGTGAAGTACAAAATTTGTAATAGAAAACTAATTCCATGATTACCGTAAAAGGCTTTGTTTATAGCACTAACACGTGCATTGTTTGTAGTTTTTGCTTAAACCTATGATATTAGGTTTATTTTGTAGGCACTAGCGATTCCTTTTGTGATTCAGTTGTACTTTGGCCGACAGGCACAACATACTGTATAACTGTTGTAGTATACGATTTATGCATTTTGACTATGTCTATTAGGGTAACAAAACAGTAACAGCTAATGACTTGTAAACAAATGTTTGTTAATTCCTCATTCTGAGTTAGATAGTATAGAAAAGCTTTCTTTTTTTCAAGTACCTTCTAAACTTTAGAAAGGAAATACCCATGAAACGTCAATATTTTTCTTTTAATGTGGTAAATTTAAGGCAGGTTAAAAATGTCTGCAGCCAGGCATGACTGAAAATTGAGGTGTGAACCTTAGATTTGGTCTCAGAAACCCATAATTGCAATAAAAACTCGAAATCAATAAAAGCTTGGCTCCTTGTTTGCTTTCATTTTTTTCAATTAGGCCACACCGGCTTAATTCTATGGATGACATCCTCTGAAGACCCCCAAACTAGTGCGCGCGGGCGAATAAAAAATTCCGACCAAATATAAAAATGCTACAAAACCACAGGAATACAAAGCTGGTATTGTAAAATTGGGGCAGTACATAGCGAAGTATACGACAAGCCGGCACATGCTGGCTTTTTTGTTGAATTTTTTAATCGGCACTGTACTGAGTTCTTAAGTCGTGGAGCTTCGGTAGCCTGGGTGCCATCCTCCGGAGTTACAATGTATACTACCCAGGCCTAGAGCTAGGCAAGAGCCTCTGAGGAAGTGAGCTTTTTTTCGAGAACAGGCAAAAATCAATGCGCGCGCGGATGTCATCCATCAAATTAAGTCGGTGTGGCGGCTGTGGTCTTAGTTTAAAGTACCGCCTTGCAGAGAAAATTTAGCGAAATGTTTGCTCTCTAAGGCGTGTGTGGCCCAAACGAAACAAAACAAACAACTGGTGGATCTTTCTATATACAGGATCTAACAACATCTACAAGCGAACCAGCACGATTTTTTTTCCCCTCAAAACCAACAATCTATGCTTGTCTGTGGCCATACTACAACGTTATACTAAGCATATCTCAGTAACAGGTGGTTTAGCTGCTGTTCTACTACGAAACGCCAGGCGGCGCTATCGCCTGAGCGCGGTTGCCATGGTGATCGCCAGATGCAAGATGGCGGCCGCTGGGGTGTATAAACTGGACGACGGCAAATCCACCCCGAATATCACCAGTTGCTTCCCCGTGAGGGGAGTTCTAGCCAGGCAGGCGGAGGAAGGTAGGTCTTAGGGATCTTACGAAGCCTTCTAAAGGATAAATTCAGTGTGAATTTGCTTTTTAAGCCACTATTTATCGTGGCGAAATGGTGACATAATTTTAGAGCATTATCAAGTGTTTGTGTGTGGGAGGGGGGCGCTGATTTTAACAGAATCTGGAACGCATATCGGTGTTTTGAACCTTCAACACGAACTGTTGCATGGTCTGACATAGTAACAAGACATCTACACGGTGTTCGGCATAAATAGAGGGGAATAGACCAGCAACAAAATGAGATTATTAGCGATGGCAAAACATGACTCAGTGCAAGGATTTCAATCACGTAACGGTTTACTCGTATCATTAACATATTTTTTGTCTGACCCACTTCCCTCTTGAAGTAAGGTGGCTGCAAGGGCGAATTAAGTATTTCATGAATAAACAGTCTATGCTGACAGTGTAAACTACTTCAAAACAAGACTGGATAGAAACTGGGACAAGATGAAATACCAAGACAAAGCTAGAGTAAGAAGAGGGTGTTACAACAGGCAGACAGCCTTTCACATGTAACACTGAGGGGTTCTCAGGTAAATATTTCATGAAGTATACAACGTCTCAAACATACAAACAAACCTCTGAATCCACCCTCAGCAGGAGCATGGCTGCTGGCAAAGCGAGAAGAGGACCAGAGGCGGTTTAAGGCGGTTCTGTGCGCAAAGCCGCGGGACCTGCAACAGATCCGCACCGACCTGCGACGCACAAACACGCTCTCAGAGACACCAGGATTTGGCAGCCGCTTCACAACGGTTTCACAGGCAGAGGACAGGATCGGACTGCTCGATGGATTCTTCCTGGTTAGTTATTGCTGTTCTCTCTGTACCATTCAATTCAAATGGATTAACACCTAAGCAATGCTGTTTTTGTTTACATCATGTACATACAAATTATTTTATAACATATGCAAACAATCGGTGGGCAAATCAGCTAGGTACTAAGTGAGGAAATAGGTGTCAAGAGCCTTTCCCAAGGACACAACATTAATATTAGGCCTGCCAGGGATTTGAACCAAGAGCCTTTAGTCTAGATTCGAAGTTTACAACTCTTTAAAAAAAGCCACCTTAATTGCAAATACATTAATTCATATAGACTGGGCTGTATTCTGCACCAGATAGGCCGCAGTTCATCTTCTGGCAGTTTTTGTTCACCAGACTTCCATGTGTGTTTACTGACCAGCCATGCCCATCTTACCTTACAGATGAGGGTCCACTGTGTGGATGACCCCAGTGACCTTTGTGCCATCAACATCAGCGACAAGGAGCTCTTCAGGGTAAACATAAACAATAAACAACAACATAGCAGCAATAATACTGACATAACAGTTAAATAGATAAATAAACAAATATAACAGTTGGTAGTAAACAGTGAGAAACAAAAATTTTAGAAGCAAGCATGTTTTTTTCTTGAGTAATTTGTAGTAACTGTTGTACTTGTTAACTAAGGAAAGCCATTAAAGGCTTTATTAAAAGGGTATTAGAATTAGAGAATGAAGTGCCAGAAATTCTCAATTTTGCAGGCAAAAGAAGTGGACTTCCAGCTGTTTGACAACGTGGCCTACATCAACGCTGGAGAGAACACCCTGCCTTTTGGTAAGTCTGTTGTTTTTTACTCCTTACAGATTAAGATCAAGTAAAGAAACCTATTTCTTTGCCAACCTGGTAGCTGACCTCCAGGAAGACAACAGAAAAGGTCCTAAAAGTTACCACAATCTACCAGACGTGCAGCATCTAGAGGTCTTACTTGCCTTACATTGCGCACTCCTCTTGAGGGTAAAGGGCTGACCAAGGCTTTAACCAAGCATCTTGTATATTCATTACAATTTCATTTATTTTGAACTTTATATTGCAATTTCAATTTCATTTATTATGGAAGTCCATAAAGATGATTTTAACCCCCCAAATATAATAGAGCATGTTATTGTAGATCAAATCCAATTCTCCCCCATATTGTGAGCTGCCTCTTATGACATTTTCTTTCTTTTTTCTTTCACCCAGAAATTTTCCGGTACTTCCCCATTGTGCGAGAGCTGGAACTGCCTGTAAACAACATCACAAACATCAACGTCAACATCGGAGACTTCCAGCATCTAGAGGTGAGATGTCAAGAAATTATTACATAGCAAGAAACAATGTGAATTATACTACATTTTTGCACCAAAAAGCAGTTACTCAAGCAACTGGAATTATGATTTTCCAAAATCACATCCACTTGCTTGTCAAGAGTCACTGCTTTTTGGCGTATCTTATTAGTACAGGTAAATTACCTGGATGTCTAACCTTCAACGACGTACTACATTCTTGTTCTATGGCCTATAACCTTTAAAAGGTGCTAAACTTGACCTATAACCTTTTTCCTAGGTGTTTGACCTTACCTATATTAAGCAGTCTGAGGGAGATGAGTATACTGTCACCACGGCTCATAACCTTTGCCATATGACCTATAACCTTTGCTGTATGACCTATAACCTCTGCCCTATGCCCCCAGGTGCTTGACCTGTCCTATAACAGCCTGAGGACAGTACCCTGGCGTTAGGCTTCCTCCCGAGGTTAAAGGTGCTGCACCTGACCTGTAACCCATGACCTGTAACCTTTGCTCCATGACCTATAACCTCTGCCCTGTGTCCCCAGGTGCTTGACCTGTCCTATAACAGCCTGAGTGAGGACAGTATCCTGTCCTTGGGGTTCCTCCCGAGGTTAAAGGTTCTCCACCTGACAGGGAACCAGCTCAAGTCCCTGCCGCCGGAGATGGCACGACCCCATATTGAGCCTGATGAGTGAGTCTGGGTTTTATGTTGGGCATTTGAAAAAGTATTTAAGAAACTTAATTTTCCGGAGCAGCCTTCATAATGCCAACTTCTCTTATTGTGTAAGTCCTCATTTCCAGAGAGTCCAGCTTGTCTCAAAGAAGACTTGTAAAATTACAGTTACAGATGTTTTATATATAAGTTGGACTCTTGAGTATTAGAAAACTTATCAATGACTTAAACTAAGTTTTGGAAATACATACTAGTTCTTCTAATACTAGTGAAAAGAGAGTGTCTCAGCTAAAAAGTAGATGGAGCCTAATGTTTGTTTATTTGTTTGTTTGTTTGTTTCCAGTCTGCTGGAGGAGAACCCGGTCTGGAGGTTCGCTGCGCTGGAGATTCTGTTCCTGGATGACAACAAACTAACGGAACTACAAACCTTCGCAAGCCTGGCAGGACTCAAGAAGTGAGCACAAACACTTTATGGAGATGTCCTTGTTCAATAGATGGCAAACTATATCAGCAATTTGACAGAGCCCAGAGACTAGTAGATTTAACCATAGTAGACAGAAAAAATTTCATGAAAAGACAAAATCTTTGTAGCAAAAGCATCTGTAACAGTTGTTAATTTGTTGTTTTTGCATTAGTTCTGTTCATGTCCTAAATTGACCTTTGACCAGTCTTCTGACCTACCCTTTGACCCTGAGGTTAACAAGTTGACCTTTGCCCTCCAGGTTGAAACACCTGCACATGGACCATAACCAGGTGTACTCCATCCCCCACCTGAGGGCTATGGAAGGGGGTTTGCTGGAGTCTCCTTCCTTCCCTCCACAGTCCCGAGACTCCCGAAACCCAGCTGGCCAAACCCCCACCAAGACCCCCCAGCTCAGCAAGGAGAACGTGCTTGATGGTACGGCTGACGTCGGCACGGGAAGTAAGTAGACCTAGGGGGCCTTGTTGGCTCAAGAGATCGTTCTGGCATTTCTGGATAGGAGCACGCTGACTAAATGTACTGTGCCTGCGCAAAACCTGTAATGTGTTGTGCATAGCACTTCAGGACCTTTTTTAAACTTGCATCTGCGTTGTCTGTATAGTTTTCAAATGTTGTGGCAGAAAAGATGTCATCTGCTACGGTCAAAATTCTCATGCAACATTCCCAAATATCCATATGAAAACTGTGAAAGAATGGGTTTCGTTCAAGCATAGTATGTTCTGCCAACATGCTCTGGATATTAGGCCTACATACTATCTGTTAACTTTGGCTAAGCTTATAAATAATATAATAGTCTAAGATTGCACCAAGTCCATCCCATTTTTTTCCTTGCTGATGATTTGGCAACTGACCACCTAGTATCTAAGTTAAACGCATTAATGTTGTTTGTTTGCAGTTACCCCGGAGATCCCCTCTAACCTGGAGGCTGTGTTGGAGGAGGACCAGGGCTCTTCAGGGGGTGACGAGGAAGACACATTGGACGGGGAGTCTGCCCCCCCACCCTTCCCCGAACTCAGATATCTCAGCATCGCACACAACATGGTCAGTTTTTTTTTAAATGTTTACCTTTGCAGAAGAGAAAGACATTGTTTTGGCTCTGTTTCTTCTTCTTCTAAAAAAAAAGAGGTCAATAACCTGGACCAGATGTATGTCACCATGGTAACTGGTGCTGTAGCAGACACCCTGTGGTGCTGTGGATCATATTATGTAGCAAGTTGCAGGATAGAGTTGGGGGGCTGGTCACCATTATATGTGTATATGAATGTGTTTGAGTTAAAGAATAAACAGAGCAGCAGTTTGTTAGTAAAAAAACAGTTACTCAAGTAACTAAATATGATTTTGGAAATGGTCAGAATTTTTCAAAATCATATCCTGGATGTCTAACCTTCACTGACACAGTAGTTTGTTAGGCTAGACCAGTTGAAGGTACTAAAAATTATGCTTGTGCAAAATTCAATGTTACATTTCTAATTTTATTTTGTTTTGTTTCGTGTACAGATTACAGAAGAGGAGGACCTGATCGCTCTGGCTGCCTGGCCACTCCTGTCTGAGGTGGTCATACACAGTAACCCCCTCACAACCAAGCACAGTGGTACGGTCCATTCTATTATCGTACCACACCCCTTAGACAGTGGTACATTCTGTTTTTTAACAGATGTTGATTTGAGTCATTCTGTAGGTATATTACTCTAGGAAAGAAGTCTGATTTGAGCGTCTCATGATTTTAATCTTCATCTTATTAAAATACTCAAACTGTAGTCTTTGAAGTCTATGATAATCATTATGATGCATTTTTTTGTGATGTTGCTGCCTAAATTTGATTCAGTTTCATTTTCTTCCCGATATTTCAGGACAAAAAGGTTTCAGTGAGTGTCTGTTAAAGTTTCACAAGACTTTTTCTGTATGATTCACAATAGAATTAACAAAGGCACAGACACATTATTCTACTTGTCTTCAGCATCAACCACCAATCCATAGTTTTACACACTTTCAACACAATTTGAGATCTATAAACACAAAGAATCTATGAATTAGTATAATCACAAGAAAAAAACTTCAAAGGGTCAAATGATTTCCAATTGATATTAAGCACCCAGTCACTGATTAAAGATGTGATACAATATAATAAGTGGATGTTATCTGAAATGTCTGATGTAAGATTTTTCATTATGTATCTTTAAGTCTCACCATGCAGAAACTTTCCTTATTGTTACAGGAGACCCTCCTTTGCTGAAACGGTTTCTTACAGACAGACTTGGGATCAACCTGGTCAGGTGAGCTCTTATATCTGGAGATCCTATATCATCCAGAACCATGCCTACTTACTGCTATGCCTGAATGGATTATGGTAGCAGACTATATTCCAGAACCGTGCCTGAGCAAAAAACAGTAACTGTTACGATATATCAACCAGGCTGAGTCAATGAGCATAATTACATTACATACAACTATATAGGCCCTGAAAATTACAGAAGTACTAGTATTTAAATTTCAGTGAAAGTTTTCTCCTTTTTCAAAACCTATCCAGTTCCTTGAGTAACTAAAGCTGGTGTGTTATACCAAAGGGTAGGCCGGGTATACTAAAAAAATACAGTACAGATACTACAAACTGTTTTCTTGTGTATTCATCTTGCAAGTTGTTGCTTGATTAAAAGTTTTCTTGTGTTTTTGTGTAGGTTGAAGCCTGGAGAGCTACAGAAGCCTCCGGTTGTTGTGGAACAGAAGCAGAGGAGAACCGTGAAGGAACAAGTCCGTAAGGTCCCCAAACTGCCGCTGTACCCCATGTTAGAGGGACCCCCACCGTCCGCATACACCCTGTCCCTCCCCACCGCCACCGACTTGGGCACTTCCACACCACCCTCCAGCCATATGCCGTCCACAGGCGGGACTGTTCCACGGCCTGAGATGGGGGGGATTGAGCGAGCGCAGACTTTTCCCTCAAGACCACTGCCCCCCATCTCATCCACACAACAAGAACGGCCGAGAACAGAGCCTTCAGGTAAAGCACTTTTTTAATGTTTACCTTCTCTGAAGAAAAATATTGTTTTTGCTCCATCAACTCTTCTTCAATGTGAAGGTAAACATAATAAAAAGAAATGATGTATTTGCTTTTATTTGTTTTGCGTAAACGCCTAAAGGCGTAATGATTATAACATACCAGTTTTGTAAGTACAAGCTGTGTTAGACAATACTGTAAGGTTTGAACCACTCACATCGGGAAGGTCCCCTACTCTTTTCGATAAGTGCGGTGGGTTCTTTAACGTGTTTGAGGTGTGGCGCTCCATTAAACATCCTTAACCGAAGCTACACCTGAGTGAAGTGAGAAAAGTCATGTAAACTGCCTTGACCAAGGGAAAAAAATTGGTGACACAGGTAGGATTCAAACCCAGGACCTCTTGGTACCGAGCCGAACACTCTACCATTTATGCCTCAATTTGCAAATGTTTCATGTTTTGTTTTCCTTCCCCTTCAGGATACCCAGAGGCTGACTCGGATGACTCGATGCCAGGCCTGAGGAGGGCCGATGCCTGGGAGCACCTGGAACCCCAGGACTCAGGAACGAGGGAAGGAAAGAGACAGCCAACGGACGACAGTGAACCCATCTTCCTCACACAGGTCAGAAATGCTACGTCACAGACCATCTCATGTGTAAGAGTGGGGTTCAAGCGCCGCTGACTGATCCATTCCAATGGGTCCGAACCTTTTGGAGTAGTCGTTAGTGTGCTGCTGTCAAAGCTGGCTGCCTGAGTTTGGCGCGGGTTCGATTCCCGATGTCCTGGGAGGTTTTCCTGTACTCACTCCTACCGGTATTTGTTTCACATGAAAAGCTGCATGAAGTTGGTGACAAAGAATCATATTGGACTGAGCTCCTGTTGGACTGAATTTTATAGTCACTGTGGTAAAGAATCCTACATGTATTTGTGGTTTCAGTACATGTATGCCACGTGAGCAACAGAGCCGGGATTTGAACTCCCAACCTCTTGGTCCAGAGACTCCAGACACAAGATTGCTATCCACTGGGCTACATTCTATGTTACCAAGAAGGGAAGCTTGTTTCACAATCTATACTATAAAATGTGTTAACAGTTATTTCTTCTTACATCTAGATCGATGACCAAGGAGAGGAAGTAAAGGAAGACGCCACACAAGAAAAGAAAGTCGCCCCACCGGAGGAAAGGAGAAGAAAGAAGCACAGGAGGAGGAAAGACAAAGTCCCGGAGAAGTACAAGGGCTACGAGATATTACTGGACGCAGATACAGATGTTGGGACTAAAGTTCCCACAGGTAAACACTTTAACAAGTTGTATCTTTCTTGTTTAGAGTTAAAACTTTAGATCCAACACAAAAAAGTTCTCTCACCTAGAGCTTTTGACCAGTCACTCTGGTCTTCCTCAGTAGACTGACCCAGTGAGGCTTGTCACATGGCTTCTTTGAAGTGTGACGTCAACACTGGGTCAAAGGTATCTGGCTGGTAGACGATGTCTGCCCCCGTCGCGGTTCAATGAAGTTTTAACTCTAAACATATAACTACCAACGCAGATGAACTTTCATGATAGTATAAGTCACATCTTGAAAGTTCATCTGTGTTGGTAGAAATTATTTTGAAGCAAGATTAAACTATAGTTTCCAACACAAGAAATTGGACTTTTTGACTGGAAAAGTCCAGTCTTTGTAGTCGTTTCTTTCTTTCTTTGTAATCTAAGCTATAACCCTATCTTTTCTACAGACATTAATGGTACAGTCCGAGCCCTGGAGTATGCGCTGAAACACCCGCTGGTGTTCCGTGATAAGGCAGTGGACCTCAGCACTGTACAGAAGCCATTCCAACCTGCCAGAAAGGTACATATTGTATGAAAGCCTCTGTGCTCCACTCCTTTGTTTCTAATTTGTACAAAGTATTTATTTCTAATTTGTAGTAAATTTTATTCTTTAAAATAGCCAAGAAATGTTGCTACTTTGGCATTTATTTTTCAAAGGGCAACAACTCTTTGAAAATTACACCCTTGTAAATCTGAGGAAACTTTTGCCTTGACAGAGACTGGTGCTGTCCAAGGTGCTGAAATCATGATTCTTGTGCACAGTTTGCCTTAAAAATGTCATAGGATTTAACAAATCACTTTTATAGAACAACTCTCCAACAAAGAAAAAAAATTGAGTCACTGGAATTTCTGACTAAACCACTCAGTCCTTTCCACCTACTAGGCCCAATCACTTTCTTATTTCCATGGTTGTTTTTGTCTGTGTTATTGGAAGTTATATACACTATTACTAGTATTAGAGATATGTATTCTTCCTGGAGTTCTATGATTCATCATCATCATCATCTTCGGTACTGCTCATCCCTCTAAGAAGAGGATTATTAGCAGCTGCGCGGATTAGTAATTGTGTGCAAACAAAGGGCAGGGTAGGGATAGACGTAGACAAGTGCAAGGACAGGACAAGTGAAATCAATGGTGTTAGTATTACACATATTTACATATGTACAAGGACAGGGAGGCAGCTCAATGGAGCGAAGCCCGTCCCAGCTCAGCTTTGAACTGGGAGATGGACTTCGCCTCCGCCACACTGGGCTCAAGTTCATTCCACTCCTTGATGGTGCGAGGGAAGAATGAGAGCCTGTAATAGTTGTTCTTACTCGCGATGGTCTGCAGCTGATTGGAACATCTTCATGCCATGTCTATTTTTTATCTATCACAAATCACATGAGTATTTCTTGTTATCCCAGACCCGAGCCATGCCCCCAGCCCCCACGAGAGAGAGAAGGATTGAGAAACTGGACAGAATGTTGGACCAGATGAAGGACGAAATCACAGTCATCGAGACCAGCTTGGGTAAGGCTCTTATCAGTCGATGTATTCTTACAAAGTAACTAGAGAAAATGTCTAGATTACGATCATCAACACCAGCTTGGGTAAGGCTCCAATAGTATACAGAACTGTGTCTATCTAGTTCTATGTTTGAATGGCAATTGAGTTAGAATCAGGCACAGTGCTAGATAGTCTCTATTGTATCCAGAGCTGTGACTGAATAGGTTAGGATCAGGCATGGTTCTGGATAATATTCTCTAATTGTATCCAGAACCCTGCCTATCTCGTTCTATTCCTGAATAGGTAAGGGTTAGGATCAGGCACGGCTCTGGATAGTCCCTAACGTATCCAAAGCTCTGCCTATCTAGGTAATCTATGCCTATATGGGTTAGGGTTAGGATCACTGTTCTGTCTCCGCATATCCAAGAACGTAGATTTGCCCCAGGCACGGTTCAGAATAAAAAAACACTCACCGTGCTTGAGCATGATTATGAATAAAGCATGGTTGTTCTCCAACTCTATATTGACTTACAAAGTAACCTAAAACACATGTCTAGACTACTTCGATAGGCTTACATGTAGGTATCTTCCCTCCTTCTACAAGTTTTTGCATTATCATATTATTATCCTTAATATGTTTTGAAGTGATTTGACATTAATTATCCTGATGAAGGCAACAGTGGATGCTGAAAATTTGATCTCTATGTAATCCTTGCAATTGTGTTAGAATAAAGTTCAACATTTTACTAAATTATGATTCTGTTGTGCAAATAACTTAAACAAACTGTTTCCCCCACAGCCTCTGCCCTGAAGGACAAGAAGAAGTTCAAGCGAGAGTTCCCGGAGGCTGCCCAACTGTTGGGAGAAGTCCAGGCCAAGTACAACACAGTCCGTGCTCAGTCCATGCAGGAACACAGGCGGGTACAGCAGGAAGTCAGGCAGACTGTACAGGACATCATGGACACCAAAGAGAAAATCAGGCAGCTCACCACAACTGCAAAGGACGGCTAAGAATTCTAAGGGGTCCTCGTTGTAGCAAAGGTCATCTGTTGTTTAGAATCTGACATAATTTTTTTCAGTACACAAGATTCTTGTATTTGCAGATTTGTAAGGAAGGGGAATTTCAAAAATTAAAAACACTTTTAAATGGACTTTTACAATGTGAAAATGGTTCGAATTTTGAACAAACTTAAGCAAAATTTCTACTATGCAGGCCATTACAAGAAATACTTTGAACAAGGAATAATTTTTTCATGTTTGTCAATTCATGTAAAATGTTATATTCTGCCTATATTCTATGATATATTCTGCCTATGCATACCTCCTAAAAATCAATTGTGTCAGACCTATCAGTTGTGTACACTAGGTGTGAAAAATTAAGTTGTGACAAAGTTTCACAAAGATGTTGATGTGTAAATAGAAATGTACAGGACTTCATAGTTGTAAATACAGTCTTTGTGATTAGAACGTTATTCTGAGGAGCATCTCCCACAATGTGTGAAGAATAAATGTTTTTGGAGACCAGTCACTTTTGGAGCCTGTTTGAAGCTGTTCATACGTAGTATGGCATGTTAAAGTTCCTCACAGTTTGACAGTGGGAAATAGTTCCCTTAAATAACCCAATAACAGTCACCAACGTACATAGAAACGCAAAATTTACAGAGTAAAACACGTACTATGATGTACACAGTAATGTTATCGTCTTCAAAACTTACAGTAGAATGATCGTCAGTGACCACCATAGCCACCGGGTAACACATAAACGGTACTCTCCAAGCAGATGTTTGGGCTTGGGGTTGTTTTTGGCGTGTTTTTAGGCTTTTTATCAGGGTTTCTCTTTTGCACTGGGTTTGGTGAGAAAAACATTCCAGTGCAAAAGAGAAACCCCGATACAAAAGCCTAAAAACACGCCAAAAATAACCCCAAACCTCTGCTTGGAGAGTACATAAAAGGTGTAAACATAGAAGTATCAGGTATCAAGCGGCTTTTCATCCCCAGTCGCGCTACATTCAGTCAGAGACAAAAGCCGTACAAAAGACTGCTTACGTAGTTTTACACCACGGAAAGTCCCGGCAGTGGAGCACGGAAAGCCCCGTCTAAGTCTGAGGGAAAACCCAAAACTTTCACCAGGACCAGGTAAGACTGGTAAAACAGGCAAGTCTCTACCCAGTAGACAGGTGCACGGATTTGAACCCTTGATATCCAGGTGAGGTTGTCTATTCAATCCGTATGTTTCAGAAGCAATAATGCATTTGGCTTCGATTATAATCCATATGATACTCACTGCTAAAGAGAACGTCAACATCGAGTGTTGTTTACGCGATAGTTTAGCTCTGCGCAGTAACTGATTTCTTGAAGTATCGTTGTTGCCTACTTTTCCATGGGAGACGTCATCAAACCAAATAGCAAACCAAATTTCCTGACTTACCTTCTATTTAATATTTCGTGTATTACACGAAATAGAAGATAAGTCAGGAAAATGAGTCAGAAAAACGTGCCGTACTATCTCTTTTCACGTTAAAGGTTAACATACGGACGGAAGTACTATAAACAAATACAATGTCTGCCATCAACACAACCGACCTGTCTCGGAAGCTACAGGAATTGCAGCTTAGTCTCACGAAACAACACGGTGAAGAAGTCGGCCATGACTTATTCACAAAGAAGGTCAGGGAAGCAGCGAGTAAGGTAAGTATTGCCTGATAGTCATTTTATACCCACTTTCATGCAGTGAGTGTATGCCATGGTGAACGTACAATTTCTGTAACTGTATGTAACTTTTGTTATAACTGCGCAGTTTAGACATTGTTCTGAGAGCGAGGCCGCGTCGCCCGCAACTAATACATGCCCCCCCCCCCCAAAAAAAACCACCCCTAACTTATAAACATTTATTTATTTTTATAAATCGTGGATTTCACTGAAGGGGGTTCTATGGCACTAATTTATTGCACAGGCGAACTAGATGTGTGTCGTTACCCGTTGAGGATACGTTTTATACATAGAGGATCCAGGGCCTTTCTCTTGCATATCCACACAGAGCACTTGACTAGTACCATACATAAAGGTAATTGTTGTAAAAGTTGTGGCAAATCTTTTAGAAACCATCACTGAATAAGCCAAGAAGGCGGAGGAAGAGGAGGCCTAACGCCGGGGATCAGTCAGTGAACATCACAGGAGCTGATACAGACAAACTAGGGTAAGGCAAAACGTATTAATTTTGTATTTCTATTTATTGGTAATGATAAAGCTTACTAAAGTGTGTTAAGATTGGAAAATACGTTGATGAAGGTTAGACATTCAGTTAACAATACTCATAGATTGTAAAATGTTTACAGCAGTTGGCAGAATATAGTAACTTTTATTTGACAATCATGATGCACTAGCCTCTACGTGTCCGAAGTGAAATGTCCAATGCTCTTTTCAGCAGTCATATTAAGGATGGGCTGAAGGAAGGTGAACCCTCCTTTGGCAGGGCAGTCCTAGACTTAGCAGAACAGCACTTTGAAGCCGCATTCGAGGCAGTGCATTTCGGTGGAGAAACCTCCGGTAAAACATTTTAAACATTTGCATGGAGATGTCGACTCAAAGCTCCCTTGATGTGAAGTTTGGCGTTTTACCTATTGCCATGGGGATTCATTATCTAATGAAATTTTGGTTATTGTAACACAACAGCGAAACGAAAAGTGGGTTGCCAAACCGCTGTGTTTGTACTCCCCCTCTCCCTCTTGGTTCATGAATAGACTTTCAGTTTGATCTATTGTTATTGTTAACTTACACATAAAACAAACCAAGGCAATTCAAACATTATAAAGTTCTTGTTCTCAGATCCAACAGCCCATCAGAATCAAACAATCCAACGGAGCAAAGCAAGTTTGGCTTACGTCTACATAACCGACGTGGCAATGGAGCTTTGGGATTGGGTTGTCACTAAAACAGCGACAATACAAAAGGGGTTGCTGAGTCTTATATATGGACAGAATCAAGAAAAGGTGAGTACAGTGTTTATCTGGCCACCGGAATCATTATGCCGTTTGTGCATTAACAATAATGGCATGTTACCCAAACGCTTTTTGCTTTTTTTATACCAACATTTCATGACTAGGCATGGTGACGGCACAGTCAAATTATATCAACTTATTCTAAGTCATCACCAGCGCAGATAGAGGACGAATGAGGAACAGGACAATATTCGTTTTCGCCTGAGTGAGAAAAGTCGTGTAAAGTGCCTTTCCCAAGGGCAGAAGGACCCGGGACCTCTTGGTTCAGAGTCGAACACTCTGCATGCCGCTACGCCACACGACCCCACAAATGCTTGTAAATGTTTTTAATACTGTATATCATATGATGCAGGAATCATCGCAAGATATGTCGAGGTGGGAAGCAAGAAGATCACAAGACGGCAACACCATGACAACTGGTATTTTTTACGACCGTCCATTTATGCTAAGGTGGGTTCACAATGTTGACCAAGCAGACGTATTATCGAGACGTTTGTTTCTTATATCAGTTGACAGAATTACTTGACTGTCGATATAATACAGGTATTTCTCGTTATTTTTTAGCGAACCAGGTACGGCCAATATTGCAACTGGAAGGATCGAGGCCGAGGGTGAAAGATTCAAAAAGAGGTGGGTAGCTTCCAAATTTTAGAAAACATTTTTAAGTGCAATGTAACCTACTGGATGTAGTATATTGATTACATATGTGAACACGTTACCGGTTAACCGTAACTTTTCTTTTCCTTAAGTCAGTATACGGGCCGCCTGAAGGAAGGTGATTCCTCTCTTGTCAGGGCAAACCTGGATTCAGCAGAGCAGCACTTCGCAGCTGCACTCAAGATGGTGCATGTGAGAGGTAAGGGTGAAAATTTAAAATTATGTATGGCGCTGGGATTTTGCTGGAGTGGCCAGAAACATTATGACATACATGCAGTTAACAATAGCCTAATCAAAGTATACAACAGTGTATGGCAATAGATTCCTCGTCTTTTCCAAGTCTAGGCAGTTATGTCATGGATTTTTTTACTAAAACCAACAGCTAAGGAAAATGGATGACATAAAAACTGTCCGTTTTCTGCCAGACCCCTCAATCCAGGAGTACCAGAGAGAGGTGGAGCCCCTGTGCAAGTTGGGGGATGTCTACAGTAAGCGAGGTCAGCAGACAGGAGACGGGGGAGACTTTGTCAAAGCAGCAGCGCTCTACAATGCAGCAATAGCCAGGTCAAAGGATCAAGTCCGGAATGGTAACATAGCAACAGTTATTAAAGAGGTAGAGAGATCTTTTCTTGAACGTATAATAGGTATCAATGACAACATTAGCGAAGATGACACAAAAACTTGCATACACAAGAAACAGCTGAAGGAGATGCGGGACCAGATCAAGCTGGAGATGGAAACCATTGACCAGCAGCTGGATCCCTATGTACATGATGAGGATGACCCATGTGTCAAAGAGATAGAGGCAAAACGAGCTCAGGCTGTCAGGCAGTTGTTTGAGAAAATCGCAAAACAAAGGAAGAAGTTCATCAGCCTGCTTGTAGAAGAGTGTATTGGGTTAATGGGTCCCCCTCCCTGTAAGTATGCCCTGATGGGTTTGGGTTCACAGGCCACAGGACTGGTAACTCCGTACTCAGACCTGGAGTTTGCTATCTTGGTAGAAAGGGAAAGTGAAGAATGTCTCACTTATTTCCGCAACCTCACCCACTACCTACACCTCAAGGTGGTCAACCTGGGAGAAACCATTCTCCCGGCAATGGGAATAAAATCTCTCAATGACTTTTACGCTGAGAATCCTCTTGACGACTGGTACTATGACTCTGTTACACCACGTGGGTTTGCATTTGATGGCTCCATGCCAAAGGCAAGTAAGACCCCACTGGGCCTACAGAGAAGCATGGTTGGAAAGCCCAGTGAACTCATCTGCACCCCAGAAAACATGGCTTCAAAATTACAAAATGATGTGACGTTGTACCTAAAGGAGGATTATAACCTGGCTACCATATTGAGAAACCCGTGCCTTTTAGCAGGGGAGCAGGGATTGCTAGACCGATATATGCGCATCACAATGAATGTCCTACAAGCAGATGGAGGTAAAATGGCTCAACGACTGGCACAGGACATACTAGCCAAAAACATTAATAGCTACAATGATAAAGGACTGATTTCACTAAGTCGAGTAGATGTGAAGAAAGAGCTTTATCGCTTCCCAGCTGCAGCGGTGGATTGCTTGGCACTCTTTGCGTGCATTAGACCCACTACAGTTTGGAAGTCAATCGATGAGTTGGAAAAACAAAAAGTGATTAGCACCAACAACGCACATCACCTAACAGTGCTTACCAGCATCTCAGCAGAACTCAGACTCAGAACATACATTGCAAATGGGGGACAAAGGGAAACTCTGTCACCTTTTCCCTCACTGGAAACAGCGCTATATGAACGGAAATCATACCTACAGAGCAACAATGATCATGAAGCACAAACAAGTACAGTGACACCGGTGTTTCATCTCCCAAATAAAAGACAGCTTTTCAGATACTATTATACAGCAGTACCTCTAGTTACACTTCTGTACAGACGGTTTGGAAAGAACCCATTTCTAGATCCGTTGTCTGATTTGTATGACAGTTCTCCAGCAACACAAGGGATGATGTACTCCCAGTTATGCAAGTTTGATCTGGCAATAATCTGCTATAGCAAGGCCTTGAAGAATGCCGAACATCAAATTAACAAGCTGCACTTGTTGATTGATCTTGGGAATACTTGGATTAGGGTAGGTGACAATAAAAAGGCAATCAGCTGTATTGAAAAGGCACTGCAGATGCCTTGTAGAGCCATCTTCGGTCAGAGTACGGTCCACGCTGGTATTGCATATTCTAACAGCACGCTAGGGGAGCTTTTGGACAAACTGGCCCATGATACGAATGCAACCCGCCATGTTGAACAGTTACTAAAGGTGCAAGCCGGTATTGGGAAATCTCTCGATATAAAACACATTGGTATATACCCACTCCATATTCTAGGGGATGCCTGGTCAAGTTTGGGAGATCACAGAAAAGCTATCGGCTATAACGAACAGGCCCTGCAGATTTGCAGGAATATGAGCGGTGAAACATCGGACTCTCAATATATTGGCGTTGCGGTCCTGAATTCGTTGGCATCTGCCTGGGAGAGACTAGGTGATTACGAGAAGTCAACCTCCTATAGAGATGAGGAATTGGAGATAATTAAAGATTTGTATGGTCAGAAAGGAGCACATCCTTGCATGTCAACCTTACTTCACAATGCAGGGATGGTCTTGAGTAGGTCGGGTGAGTTACAGAAATCTATCAGGTACCTCGAACAGGCACTACAGATGGATAAAAGATACTATGGCCAAAGCACAGCACATCCTGAGATTGCTAACGCACTTCGCGACACGGGATCAGTCTGGTCCGATCTGGGTGATTACAGAAAAGCCATTAGCTACTACGAACAGGCATTGCAGATGTGGGATAACATCTATGGCCCGACCAAAGCACAATCTGACATAACTAGCACTCTCAACAACCTGGGTTTTGCATGTAATGAGCTGGGTGATCATAGAAAAGCACTTCGTTGTTATGAACAGGCAATGCAGATCAACATGAGTCTCTATGGCCAGGAGACTGCGAATGTTTATATCGCCGAGTCACTCAACATGTTGGGACAGGCATGGACCTTCTTGGGTGATCATATCAAAGCATGCAGCTACCATGAACGGGCACTGCAGATGTACAGAAGTGTCTATGGTGAGAGTACCGCGCATTCGGCTATTGCCCAAGCACTCGGCGCACTAGGATTGGTTTGGCACAATCTTGGTGATTACGAGAAAGAAATCAGTTTCTACGAACAGGCACTGCAGATGTACAAAGGTGTCCTTGGCCAGAACAAGGCACATTCTGGTATTGCTTTCGTACTGAACAAAATGGGGAACGCCTGGAGTAGCCTTGGTAATTACGAAAAAGGACTTGACTACCATGAACAGGCACTGCAGATGTGCAGGAGTATCTATGGTCAGAGTGCAGAACGACCTGCCATTGCCTGCATACTCAATAGCATAGGAATGACCTGGCACGATCTGGGCAATTACAGAAAGGGACTTGACTACCATGAACAGGCACTGCAAGTGTGCAGGAGCATTTATGGTAAGAGTAAAGCACATCCTGACATAGCCAGGTTACTAAACAACCTGGGGTTAGCCTGGCACCATCTTGGTGATTACGAGAAAGAAATTAGCTTTTATGAACAAGCACTGCAGATGTGCAAAAGTCTTTATGGCCAAGACAAGGCACATACCGACATTGCTGACGCACTGAACCGCCTTGGTAAAGCGTGGAGGAGCCTGGATGATCACAGAAAAGGACTTGACTACCACAGACAGGCGCTGCAGATGTACAAGATTATCTATGGCCAGAGTACAGCACATCCTTACATTGCCGATTCACTGGTCAAAATTGGGGACGCTTGGCACTTACTGGGTGATCAAAGGAAAGCCATCAGCTACTTCGAACAGGGACTACAGATGTACAAACGTATCCATGGTCGTGATACAGCCCACCTCGACGTTGCCCGAATTATTGATAGGATTGGGCATGTACTGACATGTCAAGGCAATCATAGAAGAGCTGTACGCTACCATGAACAGACACTGCGGATACTAAAAAATCACTTTGGTGAGAGTACACCTCATCCTAGCATTATTGACTCACTCATAAAGGTCGGGGAAGCCTGGAGCCATCTTGGTAATGAAAAAGAAGCAATGAGCTACTTTCCACAGGTACTGCATATGTGTAGGGCTCTTTATGGGTGTCCGGGGGACTCAGAACTTTCTGACATTGTTCACTTGCTTAAACACCTGGATTCACACAAGTATAAGTATACATTCATATAAAAAATACAATGCTCATAAACGTGCACTGCAGATGTACAGAAGTGTCTGTGGTCTATATGTCTATTCTGCACATGTACAGATGTGTCTATGGTGAGAGTACCAAAATAGTTTTCTTTCACTAAATTGTAAATAGGAAGGTACAAGAATGTTATATGTTGTAAATATTGTGTGATTTCCTTATTGTATGGAGCATCTCCCAGAATTTGATATGGCAAGACATGTACAGATTTAGCCTGCGAACGAAAGGCACCAAATGTATATGTGACCCTCTCTCAAGTCGCCTTCCTTTCCTTCTTTGTAGCTGGAGACCGTCATGAGACAGAAAGTGCTTGTAAATGCTAGATTTCTATTAATGCACCTTATCTGAGAGATCCTTCCTTGTCTAGAAGCCTTCATTTGAAATTGTAAAAAAAAAAGCATTTTAGTAGATAAATATGTCAAAATGTATATGTTGAATGTCTGTGCTCAGTTTATTTGTCATCAGGCAGTGCCTTTCTGTTTTATAGTTAACTTTGATTTTAATGGGAATTTTAACGTACGAGTAAACCGTATCCCCTTTGCCCCAGCGTTAGTTAAATGTACAATGTAAGTCCTTAAAATCAATGCATGTGCAAATTCTCATTTATTTTTCTTTCTGTAAAATGTCCACCTTCCTATCATAGCCCAACCCTTGTTCGACGGTCAAACAAGTATTCTGAACTGTTTATCATGTAATTACAATTAAAACAGCATCGTTTAAAATTCAAACATAGAAGACATGAGAGCAAGGGTACAGCAAATAACAACAGCAATGGTAGACATACATGAAAATAACTGTTGTACTGAAGTGCCAGCACACTTGCAAGCAAAATTCCTGCTACACTTCACAAACAAATCAATAAAGAAAGGGTTTCTATTCTTCCCAATATGTCTTTCTTCACTACAGCATGTGTGGTTTAAGGTTTCTTACTACTTAATAACAATGGAAGAGTGACAGCCTCAAGGGATTCTGATTTAGTTACCTTGTAAATGTGTGAAGTTACTAGTAACTAGCACTGAGCTGGACACCTATAGTGTCATCTTGCTCTACAGTAAATGAGTCCATTCTAACTTGCAGGCAGCCCAGGTATCATATAATCAGAGCACATGTACAAGTCTGTGACTTTACAGCACATGAGCAAACATCAATGGTCAGCCCTGCATAATGTGCCATGTGCACTGCATGGCAGTGGTCTTACTGAAGTACAAGATGTGTAAGAGACAGCACCTTGGCCCAGGAAAAGCATTTACCCTGGTAGGGCTGCAGCTTTTTTATTGTGGATTCGTTGAAAATTTAGGCTATAGATTAGGTTACATACTATATGCACAGCAATGCAAACATGCTGCTGCACTTTTTAATTTACCCATTTGTTATTCTGCATCTGAATAGCTTACTCTAAAGCTATCGGCTGCCTACATGTAATCTTACATGTTCATAATTTTAGCAGCAAAGTTAGCAAGTATCTTCCTAACATTTCCTACTTCATGTATGGAACCTACTTCATGTTAGATTTTACTTCTAATGACTAACACTATCTTGACTTATTAACACTATCAGTACCCTTTATCTACATACTCGACTCAACTAGTACCTACTTATACATATCAAGTGTCACTAATAACTTATGGCCTGTCACCTGTCATCCCTGGATGTAAGGAGGTCTCTGTGGAAGACAAGACACAATTCTGAGAAAGATTTCTTGTCAATGAAGTGGTTGATTACCTTCAGTGGCTGGAGGAATGCTGGAAACATTGGGGGTCAATCAGAATCAATTTCATCATGACCACAAGCAAGTCTGAAGTTAGGCTGATGCATCTGGACAGGAACTTGGAACTTTGGCCTTTAATCTATGACCTATGAATAACACATGCCTGTAGAATGCATGTACTGGTACCTCTGATCTCTGACCTGTGATTAGACTGATCCCTGACCTATGACCTACAGGAAGTGATTTTCACACAGCCTTTGCTTGTACAGAATAAGCATGTAGAGAGAGGCCAGCCCAAACAGCTGGGTCTGGACATGTACCTACCTTCTAACCTATGACCTATGAGTAACCTATGACCTCTGACCTACAGGAAGTGATTGTTACACAGCCTTTCCTTTAGGCTTGTACAGAATGAGCATGTAGAGAGAGGCCAGACCAAACATGTTTGGACATGTACCTTACCCCTAACCTATGACCGTATAATTAGCCTCTGATACCTGACCTATGACCTGTGATTAGACACTGATCCCTGACCTATGACCTACAGGAAGTGATTATTACACAGCCTTTCCTTTCGGCTTGTACAGGATGAGCATGTAGAGAGAGGCCAGCCCAAACAGCTGGGTTTGGACGATCCACTTCAGTCTGGTCACCCCTCCGATGTTCTTCATCCTGAGGAGGCATGGAGATCATGTTACATACAAACAATAACATTATCATTATGGTAGACATAGAAAATTTACTACAGTCAAACCTGTACTAGCGGTCACCCCTGTATAGTGGTCACTTGGCCATAGCGGTCAGTTTTTGCCGGTCCCTTTAATTTTTCCCATTGACGTAAGCATTAAGCATTGGGTCTATAGCGGTCACTTGTTCAACGTGGTCAGCGGTCACCCCATTCCGGTCCCGCCGGCTATCAACACCTCCGATTGCGGTCGCGGCTGGCCGTAACCCGCTAAGCACCACGGCCGTAACACCACCCCACCTCGGGCTACGACCGTTATAATGAGCCTTGTGATAATTTTCCGATCGCTACATTACTAAAATGTGAACTGAAATTAGACTCCATATGTGTACATGTATTAGTATAGCTACACAGAAAACTTAGCAACCTTGAATTCACACTCCGTCTCATTTTTCAAATTTTAATGTTGGACCCCCTTGGTTTGAGGATTTTCAATTTTAACTGTCAAGGATTGATATAACTGGCTTTATCTCACGTTATTCATCTACTTCAGTCATAATGTACCTACCCGGTATGTATCTATATCTATCTACCTTTCCAAAATCATATCCAGTTGATTGTAATGAGTAACTGTTTTTGGCACATCTTATTACATGTACCTGGATGTCTAACCTTCACAGATATCCATGTAGCTATCCATGGAGTGGAAAAACAGGAGTGTAATGTAATGTAATATACATACGTTGTCAGGATAGCTGCAATGACAGCCTCTGTAGTGTGGATTCCCCAGGCTATCCAAAACCTGCAAAACAACAGAAATACATCCTCATCTTTCCACTTTGGCCAAGAAATAAAAATGTGCATACATGTACGTAAGAAGAACTTAATTGCACGACAATTGTACATGGTACAAAGTATATGGCAACAAGTATTGAACATAGTACAAAATAGAGAAGGGTATACAGTCACTGATCGAAGAATTTGTACTAACTGTAGTGTTAATTCTACGTGACTGATGAACCTCTTCAACGAGAGAAGGGTATAGAATGAAAATTAACACTGATTGCTAAACATCAAGAGCTAATACAATATACATTCAAGTTGGGCTAATCATGTATGACTATGAGTAAATCAGTTACAATTTTTGAAGACTACAGTGTACATTAGGGCCCTGACCTGGAACCCCAGAGGTAAAAGAAGGAGGGGCCGTCCCAGAAACTCCTGGAGGTGAGACACAGAGAGTGAGCTGTCTGAACTGGGAATGCAACTTTGCAAGTTGTGAAGATGTAACCTGGAAGCCAGTTTTCCAGGCCGCAAGAGCCTTTCGCCCGCTGGTGTAGATTACCGCTACGGGGGAGTCTAGCCCGGGGGGGAGTTTGGCTGGCCCTACAAACGAATATAGGGCCGGACAAAACCCTCGGGCTCAACTCCCCCGTAGCAGTAATTTAGATAGGCGGGCGAAGGGCTCTTGGCTGCCGAAGGAAAACGGCTAACGGCCCGATACTAGTTTTGGCATCCAGGGAAGTGAAGATGTTGAGAGGAAAGCCCAGAACAGAGCTGGATGGAAGAGGATCATCGGTGGCCTATGCTCGGCATGGGGCCAAGGGCCCAAATAGTTAGTACTAGTAAGTACTGTGTACACTCACCCTCTGTAGAGTTGTACTGGGTAGTTCTTGATGAGATACTGAACCAGAGTACCGACAGGACCCAGCATGGACCATGGGACTGACTGGGGGGCGTACACTGCAAACTGTAGGAAAATACAAACATAGACATTAACGCTATCTATCATAAGTACAAGCTGTATACTAGTAATAATTAGTACTAGTATACATGTATTTGTGATGGCTCGGTGTACATAATTTATGATAACAATACCCCCTGCACCTACAACCCTGACAATAGAAATTCTCGAAAGAAATGTTTTGGCGATGTGATTCGTTCGTTTCTATACATATTTACTTATGAGCAGGGCTCTCTCAGTGACTGGGCACTGCTACATTATATAGCTAGAGAGTCCCTGGGCACATATACATGTACATATAAAAATATAATACCATACATGTATGTATAACATCATTTGTATGTTGATACTATGGATTAACAATTGGCCAAAATCAACAGCAAATGGGGGGGGGGGACCCTTTCTAACAAGATACAACTGACCATCTCTAAAAAAAAAAGACCATAGAAGCAACTTAACGTACGAAGAGATTACGGTTAAAACCGGTGAACTACTAGTATGCCCCCTTTGTTCTTACCGTGTACAGCAGCCATATACATGGCACCAGCACCAGGGTCAGGTAACTCACTCGCACAAAACCTGTCGCCGTCATCGCTAAACAACGGTTCTCAGAACTCTAGTTACGCTCAAAATAAACTCAACCACTCAAAGAAACAAAAGAAAATCAACAAACCCCGAAGACGGTGAATCCGACACCGATAAACGACATCCAAAACGGGGAGGCGCGACGGAAAAAAGGTTCGGAATCAGCCATGGGCGGCGCCATCTTGGATATTTCCCACAGTGCACTGCGATCGAACCAACTGCGGTCGTTTCAACTTTTTTGTTTCACCCACCTGACAGCTTAAAGACGTCCAGATTAAACTAAATGTCAAGAATACAAAGTTGGTGTTTGGTTTTTAGAAATATACTACATTTCGTGCTGTGCCAATAATAATACATTGTCCTTTGTTGACGTTTAGTAAAAATAGGTCACATTTTTTTAACTGGGCTACTATTTGCATTAGAGAAAAAATGGTCAGGTAGGTCACTCGCACTGAAGCTCCCGAAGACATCCCTAAACAACGGTTTTCAGAACTGTAGTTACACTCAAAATAAACTCCAACACTCAAACAAAGAAAATAAAATCAACAAACCCCGAAGACGGTGAATCCGACACCGATAAACGACATCCAAAACGGGGAGGCACGACGGAAAAAAGGTTCGGAATCACCCATGGGCGGCGCCATCTTAGATATTTCCCACAGTGCACTGCGATCGAACCAACTATGACGGCCGTTTTGACTTTTTATTTCAACCACCTGACACTATTAAAAAGCAATTTTAAGGAAATTTAAAGAGTTGAAGATGAAAATGAATGTCAGGAATACAAAGGTGGTGTTTGGTTTTTTAAAATGTAGCACATTTCGTGCTGTGCCAATAATTATACATTGTCCTTTCTTGAGGTTTAAATAGGTCACATAAAAATGTCCAGGTAGGTCACTCGCACAAAAGCTCCCGAAGACATCCCTAAACAACGGTTTTCAGAACTGTAGTTACACTCAAAATAAACTCCAACACTCAAACAAAGAAAAGAAAATCAACAAACCCCGAAGGCGGTTATTCCAACTGCGATAAGTGACATCCAAAACGGGGAGATCACCCGGAAAAAAGGTTCGGAATCAGCCATGGGCGGCGCCATCTTGGATATTCCCCACAGTGCACCGCGATCGAACAAACTATGGCGGCCGATTTCAACTTTTCAACCACCTGCTAAACTTAAAAGCAGTTTTAAAGAAAGCTTAAAGCTGAAGCTTAAATAAATCTTAGGAATACAAAGGCATTGCTTGGTTTTTACAAAGGTAGAACATTTTTAGTTACAGGAGGAATGTGCCAACAATTACTAGTAACAGTTATACGTTTGCCTCCTTCGCAGACTTGTAGGACAACGGTGTTATTTTTCGGTGAGCGACGCGTTTTTGCCGGTGAGAGAGGGTTTCGGCGGCAAATTTGAGGAGGGAGACGGTTTTAAGTTTTATTTGAAAAAACACCACAATCCGCTATCACAACATCTTTTTTTTTTGCAATTTTAGTCAGAGCTTTTCATACGTTATCTTCGGCATGTTGGGGTACATTCAGTTTATGTTGTATATTAGCAGCTGTACTCCAACATGGCCGACACTGTTCCAATATATGATCATTATGACATCAGCAAAAAGAGCCTGTATAGGACGATACTACTTTGCCCCCTCCCTTTTCGTTGTGTTGAAAGAAACAACAAAAGAGTCGACGGTCAATAAGATAAAGGTAACAGTAAACACCTGTTCGGTGCAAGGGTCAATCTATCCAAGATGGCGGCGACCAAGGAAAACTTCAAGCGTATTCCTGCCTGGGTGATGGCGATCGTCTTCGCAATGTATGTTCTTGATGGGGTACGCAGCTGGTTTCTGAAATGTTTTACTTTGGATATTCTTGACATTTTTAGTCTTTAAGGTGTCGCCCTCCGACCTGTTTTAACGTTTTTAGTGAGCACTAAGTTCTGTGTATACAGTACCACGAAATGTTGATTACCTTAAGACCGATCACGTTTCAGTGACCGTCTGTCACCTTCCAATAGAGGCCGAAACGTTCGCTAGATATGAACACTTGGTTGTGTACAAAGACCTTTGTTAATTATGTTACCAAGTGGCTAAATAACTTTAGAAAATTATTCACGGAGAACTGCTGAATAGTTCGGTGGGTGAAAGAGAAGGGGGTCAATGTCCTGAGTCAGAAGGTGGCCTTCAGAACGACAAGACGCTATAAGCCGCGTGCAGAGAATTTAAAACTTTATTTTTGTTTTATTCTCCGTATGCATATATTAACGGACACTTTATCTTTTATCTAATTTTCATTTCCATCTTTTTCTTCCCTGACACCAACCCATGATACCTTCTTGGGCATGTTGTTTGTTTGTCTGTTTGTTTGTTTGTTTGTTAATTTCCTGATCTGTTGTTTATTTCAGTGCGCCCTGTTCGCACCTGACTCCACCCCGTGGCACCTTTTGGGACCGGTCGGCAGCTTCATACAGAATTTCATCAAAAACGACCCCGAACGCATCCCACGGATGTAAGTAACGGTTCTCCCCCGAGTAGATACAGACACCCACCCGGCATAAGTAACGGTTCTCCCCTATTCAAAGCAGATATCATGCTATTAGTGTTGCAATGTGTGTAATAAGATGAACAGCCCGGTTTGGCAGTATGGTGTTCATCTGTTTGACATTGTTCATACGTACGTTTATAATTTCAATTACTGATTCCGGCACTTATCTATCTATTTATTTATCTATTCATTTTGCAGGATGTTCAATATACTTGGTATTCACATTTTGGAAGCCGTGATAGCTTTCGTCGTCACCCAGTGAGTTCTAATGTTTTTTTAATACTAATTTTACCACCATCGCATCATAGTCTATGTCCTTATTGTTTGTAGTTAGAAAAAAAAATCATACTACTGTCTACTTACATGTCACTGTAGTTTAGGTAGTAGTAGGCATTGATTTGTCTCGTAAAACCATGAAAGGTACAACTTCTACTACACCATGTACTTATATATGTTTCTTTTTAAGCTTAAACCTATTGTTTAGTGACGTATACGTATATGTGAAAGCTGTATATTAAGCTAGTGTTTTTTTTTTTTATATACAATATCCGACGAAAACACCCGCATAGAGATTCGAATAACTGTAATTTTTCTCTTTCCAGGTGGAAAGGCATTTCCGGATCGGCCCGGCAGAAGTGGATCCTGCAGACGTTTGTGTTCGGAGTGTTCTCTCTCGTGCCTCTCGTCATGTTCAAACCTGAGACTGGCAAGAAAATCAAGTAGCCGCTCCAGCGGACGATATAAACTCCCTGGCACTTTTGATCAATTAAAAAGGTTCGGAATCAGCCTTATGGGCGCCGCCATCTTGAATATTCTCCACAGTGCATTGCGAGCGGTCGAACTATGGCGGTCGTTTCAACTTTTCAACCATCTGCTAAACTTAAAAGCAGTTTTAAAGAAAGTTTCAAAGACTTAAAGATGAAAATAAATCTCAGGAGTACAAAGGCAGTGTTTAGTTTCGACAAAGGTAGAACATTTTTAGTTACATGAGGAATGTGCCAACAATTATACATTCGTTTGTTTAGCCTCCTTTGCAGACTTGTAGGGCAGCGGTGTTATTTTTCGGTGAGCGACGCGTGTTTGCCGCGGGGAAATAGGGTTTTGGCGGCAAAGACCAGGAGAGAGACGGTTTTAAATTTTATCTGAAAAAAAAACACCGTCCACTATCATAACATCATCTTTTTTTGCAGTTTTCATATAAAGTAGACGTAATCTTCGCCATGTTGAGGTACATACAGATTATGTTATGCTTAATCTGACGGCAATTCACAGCTTGATCGAGCATGGTCCGTGTAAACTCGTCTCAACATGGAAAATTGTTTGGATACCGACATGCTCATTTATCATTAATTGAAACGTATAGGTTTTTTGACAATCCACGTCCGTGCTCTGTGATGTGGAACTAGTAAAAACTCGTCCGAAGTTACAGCACCATCCGTTATAACGTTATTAGCAGCTGTACTCCAACATGGCCAACGCTGTTCCAATTTATGATCAGCAACGTAAAGAGCCTGTATAGGAAGAAACCACTTTGCGCCACCCCTCCCCCTTTTCGTCGTGTTGAAAGAAACAACAAAAGAGTCGACCGTGCGGTCAATAAGAAAGGTAAACACCTGTTCAGGGCAGGGGTCAATCTATCCAAGATGGCGGTGACCAAGGAAAACTTCAAGCGTATTCCTGTCTGGGCAATGGCGTTCGTCTTTGCCTTCTTTGCTGTCGAAGCGGTATGTAGGTTTCTGAACTGTTGTACTTTGGATATTCTTGACGTCTTAAAGTTTCCATCCCTACTCTTTCTTAACGTTTTAATGATAACTATGTTTTGTGTACGCAACCAATAGTGTATACCTTAAGACCGATCACGTTTCAGTGACCGTCTGCCACCTTCCGTAACGCAATACAAACCGGAATATATACTAGGTAGTAACACTTTGTTGTGTTCAAAGAAACTTGTTATTCAGTGATTTAACAACTTAAGGAAATCATTCATGAAGGACTGTTGAATAGTTCGGCTGGGCACATAGAAGGGGGTCAATGCCCTGTCGGTCACAGGATGAAATCCAGGTTCAATGGAACGTGGTCGGCAATGTAAGGAGTAGTCCGACCCATCTAAACTGTATACATTAACTGAAACTTTATTTTTTATCTAATTTTCATTTTCTCTTCCCTGACACCAACCCGTGATACCTTCTGAGGCATGTTGTTTGTTTGTTTGTTTGTTTGTTTGTTTGTTAATTCCCTGGGCTGTTGTTTATTTCAGTGCGCCGTGTTTGCACCTGACTCTACTCCGTGGCACCTTTTAGGACCCGTGGGGAGCTTCATACAGAACATCATCAGGAACGACCCCGAACGCGTCCAACGGATGTAAGTAACGGATCTCCCCCGAGTAGATACAGACACCCACCCGGCATAAGTAACGGTTCTCCCCCGAGTAGATACAGACACCCACCCGGCATAAGTAACGGCTCTCCCCCATGTAGATACAGAGACCCACCCGGCATTAGTAACGGTTCTTCCGTATTAGATACAGAGCCCAATGCTATTATAGTGTTGCAATGTGTGTAATAAGATGAACCGTCAGGTATCTTGTACAGTTACTTGTTTGGCAGTATCGTGTTCTTCAGTTTGAACATTGTTCAATACGTAAGATTCTGGCACTTATTTATTTATTAATTTATTTCTCTATCAATTTTGCAGGCCGTTCATGATACTTGGGATCCACACTTTGGAAAGTGTGATAGCTTTCTTCGTCACCCAGTGAGTTACCATATTATATATAGATATATTTTCTTTATTTACTTTATAAACTAATTCTACCACTGTTTATTTTATGTCGATGTCCTGAAGTTTGTATTTAGAGAAAATGTGAAAACTGACTACTTTCATGTACCTGTTGTTTAGGTAGTACTATGAAAAAGGCATTCATCGGTCTCGATAACACCTTGAAGGGCACAACTTCTACTACACCATGTACTTATGTGTACTTATTGTTTGTTTTTACGCTTAAACCTGTATATGCCGACGTATATGTGGATACGTATACGACGTATACGACAGGGGCCCAAGATATGTGTGGAAGCTCACGGTATAAGTTAGTGGGTTTTCATATATAACGAAATCACCAGCATAGAGATTCGAATAACTAGATTTTTTCTCCCCCAGGTCGAAAGGCATTTCCGGATCGGCCCGGCAGAAGTGGCTGCTGCAGACCTTTGTGTTCGGAGTGTTCTCTCTGGTGCCTCTCGTCATGTTCAAACCTGCAACTGGCAAGAAAACCAAGTAGCACTAGTTCCGAGACGGTGGACGATATAAACTCCCTGGCACTTTTAATCAATTGCTGACGTCACGTATCAGTAAAGTCTCGTGTGAATAAGGTCACGTGTTTGTAACCGTAACTCTCGCGAGATCACGTTTTGAAGTGGTTGGTCATTACTTATCCTGATGAAGGCGGCAGTGGTCGCTGAAAATTTGATCTCTGGATGTGTAATCTTTGTGTTGGACGTTTTACAATAAAATCACGTAAAATTACTGTGTAGATTGAGGAGACAAAAGTTGTCCATTATGTTGTCAGTCCATCTTTTGCTACCCACTATAATTACAATGCGCGCGGCTGAACAAGTCAAGTCTGTTGTTGCATATTTGCTTTAAAAAGTTTAGAAAGTATTGTCTTTGTTCTGCAATAAAAGCTTTTTAAATGACAAATGCTATCTGTGTATTTACTCTTGTTGATGTTGACAAACTTGAGGATGACATGATTTTTTTAGATGTCTAAAGGTTACGAATGACTTGACTAATATCTAGTATGATTTAGAAGAGGGGCAACACTCGTTATTGTTAATGAGCAGATTATTGAACAGCAACATATCCCTTTTATTTAATGTCAAATTTAGACATTTACACATCAATATATTTATAGGAGCACCCTGGTAACTATAAATACGTTCATCCCATATGTCTATACTTCACAACAGACCTTCCCCACACTCATACAAGTCCGGCCCAGAAGTATTTGGACGTTCATGGCTGGTAAAACTCGAACATCATGTGCATGTGACGTTATCGGTTAGGCGCGAAGGAAACGATAATATGTGGGTAATAAGGTGTGCCAAAAAAGTTCATAGGTCAAAGTTGACAGAGAAGGGCGCCAAAACCAACCCCACATCCAAGCGAGCCAGATATATAACTTTGCTTCTTCGATCTGGGTCTCTAAACGCGGCTAATTATGAACGTAAGAAACCCTGAGCACCCCAGCGCGGTTCTGCGCGATCTGAATAGACAGAGGGAGCGGGCGGAACTGACTGATGTTATACTGGAGGTGGAAGGGAAGAGGTCAGTTGGAGCTCGAGCGATGGGGAGGGGGGCAAGTCTGTAGCTGTGGGATCGAACATCCCTTTTACCGCATACCACAGTTAACACAGTGTTGTATAACCTCCTTGGTACAACCCCAGCAAAACTACTCTCCATGCAGAGTTTTGGGTTTTGGGTTATTTTTGGTTGGGGGAAAAAATGTCAGTGCAAAAAAGAAACCCAGATAAATTTAAACGCCAAAATTCAATAACCCCAAACCTAAATCTCTGCTAAAAGTAAGCAAAACAATTCTAGTGTTATATTATTATATTTATGTTAACCATTGCAGAAGGGAAACATTTTCTTTTACTCAGTGTCTTCTTCTTCTTCTTCTCCAAACATATAAAGTCAATGACCTGGACCAGAAGTCTGTCACCATGGTAACTGGTGCTGTAGCAGACACCCTGTGGTGTTGAGTTACATTATGTAGTGTTATATTAGTTTTATTACCATACTCCCCAGTTTCCCGTGCCACCGCGCCGTCCTGTCCTGCTGCAGTCCAAACTTCCGTGCCATGTTCACCATGGTAACTGGTGCTGTAGCAGACACTCCGTGGTGTTGGGTTACATTATGTAGTGTTATGTTACCATACTCCCCAGTTTCCCGTGCCACCGCGCAGTCCTGGCCTGCTGCAGTCCCTACTTCCGTGCCATGTTCACCAGCAGCTACGCCGAGGCCAGACAGGACAGGGTCAGCATCCGGGACGTCAGTGCAGTTGCCATGGCAGCAGTTCTGGACTACGCCTACACCGGTTGCCTGGATACGGAGCCAGACCAGGTGCAGGCTGTGATGTCAGCTGCTAAACTGCTCCAGGTTAGTCTGGGCCAAGTTACTTGTGTGTAAGTTTATTCAGGTACTAGTACAGGTACATACCATACATTTATACCATACTCGGGCTGCAATAACATTTGATAACAGTGTTCCGGACTGGGCCGTACTTTATGATACGGCCCGGGCTTCCATGGCTTCCTGAGAACGATTTGAACGCCTTTTGCCCTAACCACGTGTGCCCCTTTCAAAAATTCGAATACAGAATTTGTACATTGAAATCAATGTTCTTGCATTTTTGGGTGTTGGGACATCAACTTTTACCTCATTTCACATTGAAAGACATGTTTTCTTGGTTTGGTATGACATTGATAAAATACAACACAGTGTATTCCACATCACCCTCGTTCCCAGCCCTCCCATGAATCAAATCGCCCTTCAGTCTTTGGTCAAGTAAATGTCTTTTGGCGTATCTTATTACCCGGATGTCTAACCTTCATCGATGTAACCATGTTTGTTGCCTGTAGGTGGATTTTGTATGCCATAAGGCAGCAGAGTACATGAAGGCCCATCTGGATGTGTCCAACTCTGCCGATGTCCTGATGTATGCCGACATGCTGGGGGACTCTGGTCTGCTGGAGGCCAGTGAGAAATACATTGCATCCAGGTGAGATTTGATAGCCTTTATCTACACTTTGCAATCCAAATTATATTCATTATGTTTACACGTACCTTTGCAGATGGAAATCGTATTGTTTTTGCTCTGTTTCTTCTTTTCCAAAGAACTTGGTCAATGACCTGGATCCCACTGCTATCACCATGGTAACCGGTGTTGTACCGGACACCCTGTGGTGTAGGGTTACATCATATAGCAAGTTGGAGAGGCTGGTGACCATGTATATGAATGTGTTTGAGCAAGAATAAACAGATCAGCAGTTTGTTAGTGTAGGCCATGTGCAGGGGAACATTATGCATTTGCATATGAAAATGTTACCTTTGTAGTTGATTGTTTTTTTCTAAACAGCAATAGCTTCAGGAAGAGAATTTGCAGTCACAATTTTTGTGTGCTTTTTACACGTTTGAATCAACCCCTTGCAAATGTAACATTCCCAGGTTCAGGGAGGCAGTGCTACAACCCTCCTTCCTGCAGCTGTCTCTGTCCCAGCTCCTGTCATTGCTGGACAGGGACGATCTCATCTCCCAATCAGAAGACGACGTCGCCCAAGCCGCTCTAAAATGGATCGATTTCAACCAATCAGAGCGCTCGCAGCACCTCCCTGCCCTCTGCAAAATACTGCGCCATCCCTTCATCAGTTCAGAACAGCGTGAAGAAATTGAGAGAAGGCGTCCGTCATCATCAGATGGTGCGTTAGTCTACAGCGGAAACACAAACCAGCGACTGGGGCAGAAGCGAACTGAAGTGCAGATCAACCTATCGCGTTATTTTGGTGCTGATCACAAGCCTTATTTCCCATGCTACGACCCTGCCACGGGCGCAGCAAATTCTATAGACCTGCCTGCCGGCTTGGACGGGCAGTACGTTATGTCTATGGCGGCCACCCCTGAAGGGGACCTGTATCTGGCAGCAAATGTTAACGTTGGCAACAGAAGACAGGGCGGTCAGCAGGCATCGGAGATAAAGAAGAAGTTTTACCTGTACAACCACCTGCTGGGCACCTGGGAGCTGAGAAGTGTGATGATTACAAAGTGGACCAGGTAGGTGCATTTTCCTTCAAGCTGCTGCTTTCTGAAGTATTGATGGTGGTTTGAAACCCTTGATAAGAAACATATTCAAACAGATTATAGAATTAACAATTCAAACCTTAACCTGATTGAACCCACGACCAAACCCGGGTGCCAGCCCACATGCCAACGCTCTAACCACTCGGCTAAAAGGTCTAGACCCATCAGCCGGGTCAGTTGGTAGCGCCTATAAAACCCCCACTGTTACATAACCAATCATGTTTTGAAAGAACTTCATTTAGTATGTTGGAAAGTATCAAAAAGTATAGGTCATTTGTTGTCGGCTAAATTTCCTGTTATCTTTGTAAAGTTTCTTACCCAGGTGTGAACTGGTGGCCCTCAACGGGTACATCTATGCGATCGGAGGTGATCAAGAGAAAGGAATGGCAGAAAGGTACGACCCAAGCCGGGATGAGTGGACGTCCGTACCACCCTTCCCTCACCCCGTGTCCTTGCGATCGGGGCTATGCGCCATGGCTCTTAATGACAGCATCTATGTCATCAGAAAGGAAGGCTGCCACTGCTTCAGTACTGCAGAAAACAGGTGGGACAGGATCGCCGACATGGTCGAACCCGCATGGTTTCCACGGGCCGTCACGTATCGGGGTAGAATCTACTGTGTGAACTCAATACACTCGGGGGTCCGTCCACCGACTTATGTTGTGGCGTACGACCCTTTAGATGGCGTATGGAAGCGCACTGGGAGCGGCGAACCCATCGTTTACGACAACGGGACACAGATGTCACAGGAAGGGACCCACAAATCAACCCTCCTGACACATGAGGACACACTGTACCTCTTTAGTACAGACATTATTCATAGCCTGAACAGCTATAGCTATTGGGAGGAATCCCCACGGCCCAGCAGGAGTTATGTTCACCAGTATTTGCCAGAAACTGACGCGTGGGTGGCCGTAACACAGGAAAACAAGCGCAGACTGCTTCCACCAAAGCTGTGCCGCTTCACTTTGACAGCTCTCATGGCGGCAAGGATGTTCCCAAGCTGGCTTGGGTATGACAGTTATCTGGATCGTGGGGATCTGTGAGAGACCTGTGAGAGACCTGTGAGAGACCTGTGAGAGACGTGTGAGAGACCTGTGAGAGACGTGTGAGAGACCTGTGACAGAACTTTGAGAGACGTGTGAGAGACCTCTCAGAGACCTGTGAGAGACGTGTGAGAGAACTTTTGGAGACGTGTGAGAGACCTGTCAGAGATCTGTAAGAGACCTGTGAGAGACCGGTGAGAGACATATTAGAGATGTGTTAGAGAACGGTGAGAGACCTGTGAGAGACGTGTGAGAGACCTGTGAGAGACGTATTTAGAGACCTGTGAGAGATGTGTTAGAGATGTGTTAGAGACCGGTGAGAGACCGGTGTGGACAACTCAGCTGAAGACCATCTCAGAGTGGTAGTAGGGGAATAGCAAGTTCTGTACAAACCTATAAAGTCCATTTCCCTCTTTTTTTCCCTCTTTGCTTTACAGTACTAGTATACTACTTCAAAATGACATTCGTCCTATTTCTATTCCATAATAATCAATGGCTTATTTACTTGTGTTGAAATCTCAGCAAACAAGACCACACATCTCATGCATACTGATCACTGTCAGGTGAATGGAATATAGTTCACCGTAACACCATTACTGCCTGGCTATATGTAACATGTTAATGTTGCTCAATTCTTTTTTTTAGTAGTTGATTATTTGTACAATACAGGAAATGAAAGATGTTGTATCTTCATGGAATACCTGGCGAGCTATTTTTTTTGTAATCTCTTGGCAGACAAGCTGACATGGTTAGAAAAGCACAACCTATTTTAATTGATGGTCATCAGTACTAGAATTACATATTTTTATGCATGTGAAGAAGTAGTACACACTTGTCAGATAGATACACTCGCTGGACCCAAAATCTCCATAACAAGAGCTCTGCATACAAACTCAAGTCACCTTAACATTTGTCCCGTCTCCATAATGATGGTAATGTTCTATCAAAGAGGTATAAAAAATCAAAGTTGCTGATTCCGAAGCTCCTTGGCCAAATAAAACATCGCGATTGTTCCAGAACAAGGTAAAAGAATGATGACGATGACGTCACGGAGAAGAGCAGTTGTTCCAGAACAAGATCTGACCTCTCCATCGTCACCTTGGCGACGTTGACGTCACAGAATCTCGTCGCCATGACGACGGTGACGTCACAGAATCGCGGTTGTTCCGGAACAAGGTACCAAGTCTAACCCACCCTCCTGACTACGCAGTACGTATACAGACGACAGTACAAGTGTTGTAAAAAAAAGATGGCGATGTACGCTCACGGGTCTTTTCTGGCGGAATCTCGGCGTTCTGCGCAGAACAAGGGCAGTCAGAGGAACGAAATGTTCCTGACGTTAGAGCGACTGGAGGAGAGAGCCGCAAAGTACGTGTTTGTTTGTTTGTTTGTTTGTTTGTTTCTTCGCAAGATGGCGATGTACGCATACGGGTCTGTTTGTGTTTCTATTTCTTTACTACTACCGATGTACGGGCCCGCATATTCCACTTTTCAAACAAAAGGCAATCAAAGTCTTTCATAACATCATTGGGATTTTGTCAGCAATTATTGTATCCAGAACCATGCCTATCTCTCTCGTTCTATGGCAGAATGGGTTAGGGTTAGGATCAGACACGTAGATTTAGCTATAGATCTATAGAATCCAAGAACGAAGATTTGGCCAAATAAGGCAAGCTCATGAACATTGACAACGGCGACGTTCGAAAACACTAAGAACGTTCTGGGCCTTTTGCGTTCATCAGGGATGTTAGCAACTGCAGTGTGTGTGTAGAGTTAGGATGGTCGGTCGGCAGACAATAAGGCGGCTGGAAAGGAGGGCCGGGAAGTAAGACTTCATTCACAACTGGGGTGTTTGTGGTTTGTGTCTCTCTCTTTCACTCTGTCTATCTCTCAGTGTCTGTTTCTCTCTGTCCTTCTTTCTCTCTGTTTCTATATGTTTGTGTGTGTGTGTGTGTGTGTGTGTGTTATGAGTAGATACAAAACATCTTCAGATGAAAACTTTCTACCTAGAACTAACGGCCTTTACGTACCATCGCCGTCCCAGACTGCAGAAGGAGTTTGACAGCCTGCAGGAGTTTTCAGACGACTTGACGCGTCCGTTTGAGCGTTTGTGTATGTGTGTGTGTGCGTGCGTGTGTTTGTGTCTGGCTGTGCGTGTGTGACGACTAGATACAATCCATCTACTGAAGGATGCTACCTAAAACTTCACTATCGCCGTTCCAGACTACAGAAGGAGTTTGACAGCCTGCAGGAGTTTGCAGACGACCTGACCCGCCGGTACGAGCGACACGCCACCTACCTGTGCACGGAAGCGGTAAGGATGGACATTTTCCGCTGTATACTGGACCAACGGCTCTCTGACAGGGACAGGGAGTTACTCTGCAACTACATAGGTGCGTGTTTGTTTGTTTGTTTGTTTGTTTGTTTGTTTGTTTGTATCGCATAGCTAGTAAACCAGCGGGACTAGTAGCCCTCAGACAGGGAGGTTCTCTGTTACTACATAGGTGCGTGTTTGTTTGTTTGTTTGTTTGAGTGATAAGTTAGAGGCTGCATATCTTTATTCTATCATTGTTTTTTTTTTCTCACCACCATCACCGGTCACGCTGGGGAACGACCACTCCCCTAAAGCACTAGACCCCGCGAGGGGTGTTGGTTAGTATTGTATAGAACTAGAACTAACATGCATTACTACGTTTCGGATGCTTGTCAGAACCATGTTTTATCCAGAACCATGTTCAGACAAGGTTCTAGATAGCTCACACGTATCCTAAACCGTGCCTGGCGCAAATCTACGTTCTTGAATACGCAGAGACTATCCCATTCAGGCATACTACCAGAAAGAGACACAATTCTGGATACAATAGTTTTGCACTAAGGCCATGTTGATTTGATTATATGGATGACATCCTCCGGGAGCCCCAAAACTGATGCGCGCGTGCGAATAAAAAAAAAGTTTGGCAAAGAAAAAAAGTTCTTTTCATTATGAAATCTACGTGGTCATGAGGGTTGAGCAAATGACACAGAATATGGTTTGGCAAATAATCTAGTCTTCAAATTCATTTCTTTACAATTTCGTCTTTTTTCGTTTGATTTTGGCATTCTACGACATTGGTATAGTTTTTACTTATTTTTTGTATCTTACGGTATATTTTTGCTCATTTTGCAACTGTTTTGTACGATTTACAGTATGGTTGAAAACTTTTTTTTTTGGAAACGGCCGAAAATTCATGCGCGCGCGGATGTCATCCATATAATCAAATCAACATGTCCTAAGTTATGGATACAACCTTCTCGCCCTGCAGGGTACTTCCTGTACTACGTCCTGGTGCGGATTGGCGAGGAACTGCCGCAGTACCGAACCGTCAGGTCCTACCGCCGCCTGAGGTCACGCGAGGACAGGGACCCCGCACTCAAGGCGCTCAGGTAGGTCATTGACCGAGCGGTCATTTAGGGACCCCGCCCTGAAAACTCTCTGATGAGGTCTTCATGTTGTATACAGCACTATGTTACGCTCGCCCCGGAGGCGTCGCCAAAAAGAAATTTTAATTCTGGTAAATTTTGAGTGAAAGGTCAATAAGCAACTACTATTATGGGCTGTGAGTCTCTGGCGTTCTACACTATAACATTTCTTTCTTTATTCACTCACTCACTCTCACTCGCTCATTCACTCACTCCCATTCACCCCCTCATTCAATCACTCACCCACCCACCCACTCTCACTTACTCAGTCATTCACACTCACTCACACACTCACTCACTCACACACACTCTCTCACTTTCCCTCTCTCACTCACTCACACACACACTCACTCACTCACTTTCCCTCCCTCCCTCACACACACTCACTCACTCACATTTCCCTCCCTCCCTCCCTCACTCACTTTTTCATCTAAACTTTCCAGATGCAGAATTACAGGAGACCTTGGCATTGATGAGACAGTCTTCGAGGAACTTCTTCACTTCTACAAGGACTACTGCCACTGTCACTTACAAATCCGCCCATCAACCCACTCACTCTCCCTCCCTCCCTCCCTCCTTCCGTCCCTCCCTCCTTCATTCATCTAATCTTTCCAGATGCAGAATTACAGGAGACCTCGGTATTGACGAGACAGTCTTCGAGGAGCTTCTCCACTTCTACAAGGACTACTGCCAGCCTGAGTACTTCTCCGTCTTAAAGATCGAAGAAAAACCCAAGGAGGAGGTTCTTAAGACGATCCAGGCTAAGGTTCAGGAGCCGTGTCTGGCCCAAGGGCTGGCTAAGGTCGTCAACGTGGTGCACGAGAACTTTATGTTCGACCAGTGAAAATTATAATCATTGATCTATATATTTGTGTTTGTATCGGTATAAAAGTATGTCCTCATAGTATCTAATCGAACATGAGTATTTGTGTTTGAGTTAAACACAACAGTGTTTGTCCTGGGGGCTGGCTAGGGTTGCCTGCGTTGTACACGAGAACTTCATGTTTGACCAGTAAACATGGCAATTGTTGATGTGAACATTTTGTGTGCTTATCAGTTAAACACAAAAATATGTCCTCGTCGTAAATGAAATTTTCATGTTTCACCAGGAAAAATTATAATTATTTATGTAAATATATGTGTTTGTATCGGTTAAACAAAAAATATGTCCTCAAAGTTTCTATCGTGTATTTATGTTTGACCAGTAAAAATGACAAATATTGATGTAAATATATCATACCATAATCACAGCAACAACCTGCTTAGGACTTTCACAAATGACTTTATTGTACATCACAGATGTAAATACAACGTAGCTGTCTTTTTGTAATGAAAAAAAGGGGGAAAATAAAAACTCAAAGAGATATTTTCAAAGGTGAGTTAGGTTCTTATTTTCTTGTTGTACATAAGTATACATAATTTCAAATTCATTTGCTTGTAAAACATACAGAACTCTAGGACTAGAGGAATCAACTTAAAACAGTCTGTATTTAAATCTTGTACACAAATTTTTCAGAGAGGGACTACATTCAGATTCAAGGTTTCCTTCCAGCCCCCTATTCCATTTTTATCTTAAAATATTTGAGAATCATCTGAAAACAAATTACGGCAGCCCTAACATTTCTTAACAGTCAGATAGCAGAGTCCATGTGAGCACTTGGTCTTTTCCTGATCATTTCTACCTTCTCCTATCTGCACATTTTCCTGAGAACCCTTGTCTAAAGTTTGTGACAGCTGACCAACACTTTCAGCCCCTGTAGTCAGTACAACAAACAGAGAGTTCTCAGGTACCATGTTGTACAGCTCACAAACTCTCGCACAAAGTCTTGCGAGAGTTTCCGCTAAAATGGACGGTTCGCACATGGAACTGTTTGCAACCGTGTGCCAGGAATGGAGTTGTACCCAGACAAAGTGTTTGCTTCGAATTTCGCTCTGCGCTTTCGCAAGCGCTTCACGATCAGAAACAACAGGAACACAGTGCACAGGGTGGCCGAGGAAAGGTTTTAGACAACTCGCTGTGTCCACCATTGTAGCGGTTTTCTTTTCCCGCGCGAGGACGCGGAAGTAGCTCTCCGTGTCGCTGACGCTGTTGGCTCCGCCGTGGTCCAACAGGAAACTGGGTCCGTTCGCGATCTTCAGTTGTACGAGCTGCATGGCAGCGGCCGCATCCTCTACCTGAAAACAACAATTAGTGAATAAATTACTATTAGACACAAAAACTTGTTCATCCCAAGAACACTGTTATCCATGTGATCTCTGCAAAACTCTATGTCTACTTTGTTATTGTCAATGTAGACAGATTTTAACAGTCTTGTATAATGATATGTCTCATCTATGCTGGTTACATTTCAATTGATCATATCACAGTGTTTTACGTGTTTTACACTTTTTAGGCAAGAGCATTGTAAAATCAGTACAATTCAGTCCATTCATGATAAGGACTGCAAGTTTGATTGAACAAGTTTGATATTGCTGCAATTGCATTTGGCAATGATGTAATTAGTAATGTGTAATTAGTTGTCAATGATGTTAATGTCAGGCGTTAGATATTTATGTCAGGGATTCTCGAAAACAGGTCTGAGTGCATTTTCCTGTGTAAATAAAATAAATGAAAACTTACCGAATCGTGCCCGCCAGTTCCCGTCTGTATCTCCTTCCCGAGCAGCTTGCTGGCCAGCGTGCGCAGTTTGGGCTTGAAGCGCCAGGTGGGGTGGTTAAACAGCAGGCTGGTGTCGATGACGTGGGGGTGGATCATCTTCAGCGCCTGGGGATTTAATCAGATTTATTAAAAATAAATAATGATAATAATAACTGATATTTGAAGGCATGACTGTAATCTGGATTACAACTTTGGTTCTCAGATGTTTTAAGTAGAAATATGGGGAGTATTTTATTTATTGTATATATGTACAAATAAACAAATGTGGGGGGTGTGGGGTCATGTGGCGTAGTGGCAGAGTGCTCGACTCGGAACCAAAAGGTCCTGGGTTCGAGTCCTGACATGCCACCGATCCTGTGCCCTTGGGAAAGGCAGTTTACATGACTTTCCTCACTTAACTCAAGTGAAAATGAGTACTGTATTTTGTATCTATTGCCCCCCCCCCAGATGATTTACATATTATTAATTACATTAACAAAAAATCAAATTATGATACAAACAAAAAAATTAACTACATGATCTAGAAACTATGAAATGAAAGATCGTCTTACCTGAAGGTCATTCTCTAAAGAGTGTCCAACCAAGATGCCGTCCGGTGGAAGAAGTTCCTGCAGCATTTCTTGCACGTGTTCAAGACGGGTGGTCACATCCTTCAAGTCCTTCTCACAGATGCCACTAAACTGGGTCATATAGTCCTTAACCAGTCTCCGGGGCTTCACTAAGGAGTTGTAGACTGTCTTTAAGTCTTCTCCGACGACCGAGATACGTGTGAGCTCCTTACCGACTTCCGTCTCGCACATCTCGCAGTCTATAGCGTACATTGGGCTGGTGTCTGTTGGCGTACAGGTCTCGAACGATACAAAACCCTCTGATAGAGCTGTGTCTGTGTCTAGTGGGAACCGGTTTGCTCTAAGCTGTTCCCGGTTTAGCAGAAAGTGAGTTCTACCAACTGTAGACTTCTCTCCTGTGTGCTTGGCACAGCTGGCCGATTTTTCTACAAGATCTGGGTCTACGACCCCGTTTTCTAGGTCTTTACCGAGCTTCTTCTGTGCGGTTTTGCTGACCGGAACGCGAAGCAAGTCCCGCATGAACTCTCTCGGTCGGCTGTCTGCGACCTTCATCGCTAGCGGAACCTTCTTGTTGGGAAACATGGCCGCCAGTTGTGCAAAGCATTCTGGGTGCTGGGCCAGGTGTTCCGAGGAGACCCCGTTTAGAACGACCAGGACGACCTTGCGGAGTTTGTTGAAGTTTTGTATCTGACACCAGGGGGCGCTTTTTCGCTTCCCCAGAAAGGCGTGGAGCAACAGCTGCTGTACCTGCGCCAGACGGAACTCACCTTCGAAAAAAAGAAAAACATACACGTCGCTTGTAAGACCAAAACTAGAGGTAGAATATCCGTCGCTTGTATTGAATGAATGAATGAATGAATGAATGAATGAATGAATGAATGAATGAATGAATGAATGAATGAATGATTATCAACCAAGGATTCAGGACTGGTGTTCAAAAACTCATTCTTTCCTATCGCAGAGTGGAACTCGCTGTCACCAAGTACAGTAGATGAAAGTAGTCGTTGAAGTACTAGTACATTATCATTAGATAGCTTTAAACAATATTTAGAGTAAGATGTTCATTGGTTGAGTGTAATTAACAGGTTGTTCGTGGTAAATGTTAGATCACATGCATCGGTCAGAACTCACCTTCAAGGTTGTTCAAGGTCAGGTGGAGGACAGCCTGGGTATCTTGTGAGGATGTCTCCTTCTTGCTTTTGTTCTTATTTTTCTGGTGTTTTGTGTCTGAATTCTCTGGACCTGAAGACCGACAAAAGTGGAAATTTATTTCAGATGACTTGATAGAAACTTTTAAGAGTGGACAATTTTGCATAAACATGTACATGTAGTGTATGGATGCTGGACTATCTCTCAGCTAATAAAATAAATGTTTTCAAAAATTATTCTATTATGTACGTTGAACCATGTTATGATCTTCTTGCTATTCACTCTTTCATATAAATATTTCAGAAAGTTAAACGTAACATATGTCCGTATTTTGTATAACATGACCGACCTTGACTCTGACCTTGTGGAGCCATGACGTCATCACTGGACAGGTTGTCCCCAAGGTGACCTTCACCTGCAGACCTGCCCTCGTCCTGAGAAGTCTCACAGTCTGTCTTCTTCTTCTTCTGTTTCTTTTTCTTCTTGTTCGTCTCAGAACCGTCCGTAAGACGCTCCACAAGTGGCACAGGTGTGTCGTCGTCCACACGCAGTTTCTTAAGACGCTGTTCCTGTCCTTCAGGTGTGCAGGCTCCGTCTTGAGCCCTTTCCTCCGCTTTGAAGAAAACAGACAAAAGTTGATGCAATCCATAGCTTCCACCAACCTTTCCTGTCCTACTCAGATATCAGTGTACGTTGGAAAATTCATATCCGAATCAGTACAAAAGCGGGGCTGCACAACAACCATACTCGACACTTAAAACAACCAAAATCAAAATATTATACAACCAAATTATACAGATGGATAAATAAGAATAAAAAGTGCGAACAAAAGTGTGCACTGAAAACTCACACCCCATGGATGCAATATGTAAACATTAGTACAAATAATGATTAATAATAACGTTGATTTGGTTTCATTTGTAAACACGTGCACATGTGTACATGTGTTCGTCTGTCCCCCGCCCCCCTCCCCACCTTCAAATCGTCTCAACTTCTTCGCCGGTTTTTCTTCCGTCGTGTCTTCAGTCTCGGTCTTTCTTCTCTTTTCTCCACGTCTTGCAAGATGTTTTGCGTTCTTACTGACACCGTGCCCGCGCTTACTGCGCTTGTTTTTGCCTTTCTTTCCCATTTTTGTGCGCAGGTTTCGCCAAAAACTGATCCAAGTCCGCACGAGGGGGTGAAAGGTCATCTATGGCCTGTACCACTGTAGCGTAGGGTGGTCTACACTAGCACCTTTCAAGGTTAATTAATATTCAAAACTACAGGCAATATATGTACAGTTTTGCGTAAATTGAGCTTAAAAAACAATGTTTTTTTAGGAGTGTTATAACGCTTTTGTGGCTATATATTTGACTTGCTGATCATATTTTACCTTATGCTAGTTATAGTACCCTTTAATGAGTGGAATAGTCTCTCCACCTACCAGCGTACACGCCTTACTTGTTCCATTGTTTACCTGGCCCAGGTAATCTTTGGCACGGTTCCAGCGCTCGGAAAGAAAGCCTTCTCAGAATACCTGGACGGACGGGGGACTTTTGAAGGGACTTCACCAAAGTTTCACCGTCATAAACTTAGTTAACATGTTGCATGACGCCAAGCCTTAGTAATGCTTCTTGTTGTGAACTATTTACAGTTGGGCTATTCCATTCTAGTTCAGGCATGCATTGAAAAAACGTTTTAGAAAATCAATCTATTGAGCCTAAAATACACATTGGCTACCATTGTTTATTATACTGAGCTGTTGATATCTTTAGTAAAATACTACTTGACTTTTAACCAGATACAGAAATAGCTGTCTTAGTCAACAAAACGCACAAGACATGTCACAAGTTATGATCTATATATAGATACAGAGGGGGTTACCGTGGTTTGAACCTATGTTCTTTTGAAACCAGAGCAACAGTTTCTCTCAAGTTATTTCGGGGAACGAAACATCAGCATATTAAAAGTCCCTCGGAGCTTTCGGAAACTTAGTAAGTTGTCAGTCTCCTAAGAATAGCTCAAGCTTTGAGTATAAAAGCTTCGAGAATGTTTGGCAAAAAAAGTACATAAAAAGCTGTTTACACGATTAGGTAAACGGTTTGTAGGCTTTGTACATGGATCACAGCAAGGAGCCCGTCCAGTAAATATATCAGTGGAACAATCTACTTTTAAACACTGTGTTTGGACCGTCTTTCGCGGTTGTGTTGTGCTGTGTTGTGTTGTGTTTCGTTGACGAAATCTACGGTTTTCAACTTGAGCAAAACACAGTTTCGGAGACCACGGCTATACTTCCGCATCTTTCCTACAACCCCAACTGAGCAACGTTCACAGATCGTCAACTGTGAGATACGTCGAAAGGAAACATCTGTGACTCAACTCTTCTCAGGGAGCGCTTTGGCTGTAATCGGTGTGCGACAGCTCTCAAGGTAACATTGGACTCTGGCCAGTTCGCCCTTTGCAGAGTTGCGATAGTGAAACTTCAGGCGTCGATTAGAACACAAACAGAGGACGGCGAGTGAGTTACGATAGTGAAAGAGCCAATTAGGATACAAACAAATAGAAGGCGGAACTGTCTTATGACCGAAACTTTAGTTCACAGACCAAATCCGAGAAAAACAAGCTTCGCTGACATAATTTGTGTGGTAACAAGAAGGCAGTGACTTGAGTCGCGTGTGGCCGCAGAAGAAACCCATGTAGTGAACGTCCAAAGGAAACATCTGTGGACCATTGAACGCAAGTTTGCTGGATTCTGGCCAACACGTTGCCGAGTCGCGATAGTGAAACCTTAGGCGGTCAATTTAGAGCACAAACAAAGAACGGTGGGTGTACGTAACGCCAGGACTCGTGACTGAAACTTTGCCGCCAATTTTCCCCAGGCCAAAACAAGTTGTACAAGTCCGTGGGAGTCAGTGACTTGAATATTGAGTTGTGTGGGAAGCAGTCTCAAGAAACTGACATTTAACAGCGTGTACTACAGAATAAGACCATGTAGGAAACGCATGAACGACTATGATGGACTCTGACGTTGAAAGTAACAGTACAGAGTTTGCGGGGAAAGTCGGGCGGTGCAGGTGTTTGCTGTACGGCGCTGTGTGCGTAACTCTTCTGATCACCGTGGGAGTGTCTGTAACCAGCCTGGCCATCACTCTACACTACCGGCGTGTCTTACAAGGAGGCGAGGCAGGGGCGTCTTCAGGTGTTTCCTTACAGGTGAGACGTACGTCTTCTTAAGATAATGGAAATTTGGGGGGGGGGGAGCTTAAGGGGTCAGTTGTGGGTAGAGGTTGACAAAACACAGAGTTACAGTGGGGAGGTAGGGCGTTCATGCTACATGATCAATTGTAAACCGCCTACCCCCACCCCCTTTCCCCCACCCCCTTTCCCCCACCCCCGTTTCAAAATTTTCATCGAGGGGTTTGGGTCGTCAGAAAGTTTCTCAGTGAAGAGGTTTAGGTAAGGTTGTATCAGATTGGTATCACTTTCACTTTCATACATACAGGTGTCACGAGGCAGGTCAAATATACGATATAAGGTATCAAGTTACAGTCATGTATAATTTCAGGACTAGCATTGTATGAGATCGTTGTTGTACGTCGACGTCGTAATCTACATGTAAATATGCATGCAATGCCACCCCCCCCCCCCACACACACACACAGACACACAAACACACACACG